CGCTCCGCCGTCGGATAGCCCGCGGGGTCTGGTGATCGAGCTACGCCGCGTCACTGATAACCTAGGTGCCGCCTTCTCGGTCTTCTCGCTGCCGCCCGCTGCTGGAACTGGTGATGGAGTTTTTGCCGCTTTTCCCGTCGCTGTTTCCTTGGCTGGTTTGTCGTTCTTTGCAGCACCATCGCCAGCTTCACTTATCGTAGCCAGGTTGCTGGTGACAGCTTGGTCTGCAGTAGGCTCGGCGTGGCCGCCGCCCCCGCTGTCGTCTTCCTCTATGGCCCTCTTGGGTAGGATACCCTCCAGTAGGCGAATGGCCTAGCCAAGCAACAACAGTCAGTCAAATATAGAATGTACAGGGTAAATGACATGAAGGTTATGTTGCAAAAGAAGGATCCACGAGCGGGATTCGAACCCAGCACCCCTGTAGTACCGGGACAGTGTCCTACCGATTAGGCTACCAGGGATCACACACACACATACACACCCGTTGCTCCTTCTTGCTAGAGTTATCCCCATGAACTGATGCAATATAAAATAATCTGGTGGCAATACCCCCCCCCCCCCCCCCTTCCCCGCATATGTGCGCTCACATCTGCCCTGACCACTCACGCTTGGGCACCCGCCTGTCCATCCCGCATACATACACATACATATGCACGCGCGCTCACACAAACACAACAAACACAAACACACACCATTCCTACGTCTTTCCCCTGCCTCCTCCACACACAAATGCATGTAAGCTACCTGTGTTATATAGTTGCACTCCAATACGTCCATTTTAGGAATTAGAGAAGTTGTGTTGAAGTCGAGCACTTTGGGGAATGTCTCCTCAAAGAGTTTCATCAATGTTGTGCGCTCTTCATCAAGTCGTGTCAGCATCCATCCCTAGCAGACATTGAAGACACAATCATAAAAAATCAAACCTTATAGTTGTGAGTGAACATGGAAGCAGAGTCAAAGTTGCGAGGTCCAGTCCTCGTGATAATTCCCTCCGGGAGCAGGGAATGGTTTATATGTATAATTTCCAACATATTTCATGCAGTCAACGCCTTATCATACTGTAGAGTTGTTGTCTGTCATCCAGCGTTGCAGATGTACTATCCAGGTTCTATGATCCCGGCTTGACCTGTATTTAGAGACCATTGGTCTTGATCCACAGGCGGTCTTTTTAGACAGGTGGCTCATATAATGTTCAGCTCTGAAAGTGTCGGGAAAGTTGAACCTGTGTAGTGCCTGAGGTGACCGGTATCTCAATACAGGTGGTCTCTAAAGGCAGGGTCTCAAAAGACAGGTGGTATTTCAAGACAGGTGGTCTCAAAAAGACAGGTGGTCTCAAAAGGGAGGGTCTCAAAAAGACAGGGGTCTCAAAAGACAGGGGTCTCAAAAGACAGGGGTCTCAAAAGGCAGGTGTCTCAAAAGACAGGTGGTCTTTCAAGACACGCGGTCTCAAAAAGACAGGTGGTCTCAAAAGACAGGGTCTCAAAAGCAGTTCAAAAGGCAGGTGTCTCAAAAGACAGGGGTCTCAAAAGGCAGGGGTCTCAAAAGAGGGGTCTCAAAAGACAAGGATCTCAAAAGACAGAGGTCTCAAAAGGCAGGGGTCTCAAAAGGCAGGGGTCTCAAAAGGCAAGACAGGGGTCTCAAAAGACAGGTGGTCTCAAAAGGGAGGGTCTCAAAAGACAGGGTCTCAAAAGTAGTTCAAAAAGCAGGGGTCTTAAAAGGCAGGGGTCTCAAAAGGTAGGGGTCTCAAAAGGCAGGGTCTCAAAGACAGGGTCTCAAAAGACAGGGTCTCAAAAGGCAGGGGTTTCAAAAGACAGGGGTCTCAAAAGACAGGAGTCTCAAAAGGCAGGGGTCTCAAAAGACAGGGGTCTCAAAAGGCAGGGGTCTCAAAAAGCAGGGTCTCAAAAAGCAAGGGTCTCAAAAGGCAAGACAGGGGTCTCAAAAGACAGGTGGTCTCAAAAGGACAGGTGGTCTCAAAAGGACAGGTGGTCTCAAAAGACAGGGTCTCAAAAGGTGGTCTCAAAAGACAGGTGGTCTCAAAAGGACAGGTGGTCTCAAAAGGACAGGTGGTCTCAAAAGACAGGGTCTCAAAAGGTGGTCTCAAAAACAGGGGTCTCTCAGGGCAGATGGTCCCTAAAGACAGGTAGTATCTAAAGACAGGTGGTCTCTTTGTGCATGCAGTGGTCATCTAGCAGTGTTTCCTATAACCTGTATTGGGTGACTCACCGAAAGTATGGGCTTCCAGTCCAGTGCGGATGAGCTCATGAACACCATTCCGTTTCTCGATACAGTGGCCGGGGAAGCATTGTCGATGTTGTGCGGCTCGAAACAGATCTTGCAGAGTGGTGCCATGGAAATACGATCACCGTTGGCCAGTGTCAATGTCTTGTTGTCGTCCAGTACACTGTTCAAATTTTCAATCCAAATAGCATCCACCGGTCCGTCAAGGACGATCCAAATATGCTCGCCTGCGCACAGAGTACCAGCCATACCAAACACACGGTGAACATCCACGTTTGGGATGAGAGGAGTACGATCATGTGCATCGAAGACTGCCCACACCTTGGGGGGGGGGGGGGGGTCTCATATTTGGCAGGTACATACAGCTCCAGTGTATTCGTGAACATGACCCCACAAGGCAATAGTTGGTAAATGCCGTAACATCACAAGAAAAGCTAATGTGCTCCAAAAGTCAAAATAATTGTCCAGGCGTACACTCACGCCCTGTCTCTTTTCAGACAGTAGGACAAATAAAACTGGTATATTGCTATGAACATCAGATTGTATGTCGAAATGGCTGAGCCACGCAAGTGAAGTTGCTGACCGAACACAGAGTGCCCAACACCAGGAGGTAAGACATGCATGTACAACAGAGGGGGGGGGGGGGGGAGGGGCAGAGCTAGAGTAACTACCCCCGACCCCCCCCCCCCCCCCTCTCTCTCTCTCTCTCTCTCACTCTATATCTCCCTGTTCTGCATGCATTGCTTTAGCTATCCATGCATCTAACCTTTCTTCGCCTTGTGTGTTCGTCGCCACAGTGTGGAGAAGATACCGTCAGTCCAATCGTTGGTGGCAACGTCGAGACGTCCGAACATCTGCGGCGCTGTGATGGCCTTTGGATTCATTCTCATCTCACGATGTGGTTGACCGCAGTCGGTCATGGCCTTCATCAACATTTGAATGCACTTTGTTTTGCCCGCACCGCTGGGACCCAGGGCCATCATGCCATGGCGTACACGCTGGGTTTCAAACAGCTAGAGATGTCGAGCACGGCAGGTGTGCACACACGCAGACATGGCCACAAACAAGTCCAGAAACACAAACACACACATTATGAAAAATACAAAGTGAACGTGAACTGGGCTTTGCCTGTTCACCAGCGATTCAAAAATTTCTCGCACGTGACCCAAAAGTTGGCCGTCGGTACAACCTTGAAAAAGCTCTATATAGAACCATACCTGAATGAGTTTCAGCACCCACGGTGGGTGCGCAATCAGCCCAACCTCTCTGACATTAGCCACAATTGCTGCTTCCAGATCTGGGTAGCCAGCTTTGTCCAGAACGATTCCCGGAAAGAGATCGTCAATCAAGCTCAAGAAAAGCGGCTCGTCTTCATCGACTAGTTTGGACAAGTTCATGTCCCTGAGCACACGCATCACGGTCGTGCTCTCGCTGTCGTTCGGGTTCTGACGCTTGACATTGCCCAGCGTTCGCAGCACGGAGAGGATGTTTCGCAATCCAAAGTCGTAGTGCACTTGTTTGGAGAGCTGCTCTTCGCACAGCTTGTAGAGCGTGTAAAACTTTCTCGACAGGTTGATGTTCTCCAGGAAACCAGCACTGGCAAGTTTGACACGGATGATAATCTGGGAACACACCAAAAACCAAACACAAGCACTCAGTAACCATCAGAATTGATTCCTGGAGCAGTGGAACTACACTAGGGCCTGCGTACAGCACCGCAAGCCATCTAGAACGACACAGAGCACAACAAGAAGAAGAAGAAGATCTAGCAGGAATGGAGTTAGCCTGGGAATAGATTATCTATCTCTCTATCTACGTCATTCCATAACACACTCCATCATTGTTAAAGTAGCAACACTGTGACAATGTCTCAAATGCAGACATCCAGGTACCATGCAGGCAGGTCTCTTCCATATTTAGAGGTAATCCGATTCCAGAATGTGTTCTGTACTCCGAGGTGTTCAGATTGAGGAATTCAGTGAATAGAGGTGTTGTACACATGCAAATGGCCAGGGAATTCCCCAAGCTTGATGACCTCATTGTCATGGGCATGCCATTCACCATCCTTCTGCGCCACAAAGTTAAATATCAATATTTTTAAAAGTTCTCTCATGTAATGGAATTGCATGATTTGCAGTTCAGTATAAAGTAATCAATCTTCTCCTTCGATCTTGTTCAAATAATTCTCTAAATGTACTGATGTTTTGACATCATAGTTTTTCGAAAGATTCCAATAATTTAGTTATCATATGTTGACTCGCTTTGAATCGCTGATCAGAGCATGATCATGTGATCTGATCATGCTGTGCGCCATTTTTGCTATGGTTCTTTGATGCGCGTGAGGGCATGAACCTCGCGGCATCAGGCTGGCTTTTGTGGATCTTTTTACTCTCCTTTTAGACTAATTCCTGTAAACAAGCCGTATTTGGGGTCTTGAGTGTGTGGTCGTGAGGGATCGAGGGAGCCTACAGACGGAATTGGTAGTGCTCTAGGGTCCGACCTAAAGAAGAAAGGAATTCGATTACAGATTTTGGTACCGAAACCCACGTGGATGCCCCGGAAAAGTCGTCGTGGTCGTGGAAATACAGTCCAAAAACAGCAACGTGGTAGTGCTGGTTGTGAGCAGACTGATCAAAGTTCGAGTGTCAGTGCTGTCAGTGTGACAAATTTGGACGTCGCGGACGATAAAGGAACTGTTGCGCGTGCTGGTGAACACCTTGTATGCACCATGTCCTCCAAATTCGATTCGTATTTGAAACAGTATCGTGGAGCTCGCGATGACTTTGATGTCTTTTGGAGAAAGTTTATGGTGGCTGCTCAACTTCAACAATGGACAACAGAGGAAAAGCGAATGGCACAACTTCCGTTATTCTTGGATGGAGATGCCTTTTTAGTGTGGGATGAGCTCTCTGATGAGGATAAGAAAAAAGAGAACAGTGTGAAACAACGGCTGCGTGATGCCTTCACGCTGTCGACAGGCCAGGCGTATGGCCAGTTTGTTACGCGCACCCTTGGTCGCGCCGAGAGTGTGGATGCCTACGCTGCGGATCTGCGCCGGCTGTTGATCGCAGCCGGACATAAAGTCGAAGCAGACGGCAAGTCACCCATGCTCATCGAGCAGTTCATAAGGGGCTTGCCGTCGACAGAAGCCAACCAATTGACATCGAATGGTGACACGTCATCAATTGGAGCCTGCGTGGCATATGTTCGTCGCCTGCGCACTTCGGTGTCGCACATGTCGGGTGGTGTGTCAGCCGTAGCAGCGTCTTCGGTGAAGTCGTCATCCTCATCCAGCGGGCGAGGACGATCCAGTTCAGTGCTGTGCTTCGAGTGTCATGAAGTCGGGCATATTTCACGGAACTGCCCGAGTAAAGTTAAGAAACGTCGAGATGGTGCTAGTGGTAACTCAGGTTGGCGTCTGATCTGTCACTTTTGCGATGCGGAGGGACACCTCAAGAAAGATTGTCCCGAGAGAGAAGCGTGGAAGAAGTCCCGCAGTAGTAAGACGTCAGCATCTGCTGCTGCTCCAGTTTCTGGTGAATCCGTTCATCACGTTCTGTGTGTGCCATCGACAAATGTTCGTCTGCCTCGCGTGTACGTCGATGCAAAATTGCCTGGCGGGGAGGAACGTCGTGCTGTTGCAGTGGTAGACACGGGATCCTCCCAAACGTTGCTGTCTGCCCAGTTGGCTAAGGCCTTGCACTGCCAGCTGACCCCCTCCAATGCGCAGATTTCTGCAGTCGATGGACGGCCATTGCCAGTCTTGGGCGCTACCAGAGTCACACTATCACGACAAGACTCGGCGAATGTTGTGCTGCCGCAGACAGAGGTGGAGGCGCTCGTTGTGGCAGATCTCAAGTCAGTGTGTGCAGATGTACTAATTGGCTTGACCCTGATATCAGCTGTGGGTGAGGTTCGCGTACGCTACGATGGCGATGATCTGGCGTCAGTGGTCTTTACAGCTGCTGAACCTGTCTGTGCTGCCGCAGCAAAGAAGCCAGAGCATCCACTACCGTATGTGTCAGTGGATGAGGATGAGGTCGGTAACGTCACACTTTCAACGAGTGATGGCAGCGTACGCTGGAATAATGTACTGAGCCGGTGGGAACTGACATGGCAATGGAATGATGGCGTCGGTCCTGAAGCCAGTGTTGGGTCGGGTATCGGAGAATACTCGCGCCATAAGTTGACGGCAGAGCAAGAGAAGTTGTTCCAAGATGAAGTTGATCTGTGGATCCACAACGGCTGGCTGGTCCCGCACGATACATCAGTTCATGGTCCCCCACAGTGTGTTCTGCCGCTCATCCCGCAGGTCCAAGAGCACAAACAGTCTACTCCAGTGCGACCGTGCTTGGATTACCGGTCGCTGAATCGTCTTGTGAAGTCCGAGCCTGGCAGAGAGGCCCCTATCTGTGGAGACAAGCTGCGCAAGTGGCGCAAGGCTGGTCCTGCACACGAGTATGTCCTCATGGACATCCGGAAGGCCTACCTGCAAGTTCATGTAGCAGAGCAGCTTCAGTGCTTCCAGATTGTGTTGTGGAAGGGCAAAAGATTCGTAATGCAGCGCATGGGTTTTGGATTATCTGTCGCTCCAAAGATGATGGACGCCATAGTCAAGTGGGCCCTGCGCGATGTTCCGGGAGCCGACAATTACGTCGACGATGTGTTTGTTGCGAAGAATCACCAGGTGGAAGCCGAGGCAAAGTTAGCAGAGTACGGCCTCGCAACGAAACCTGCTGAACAGCTGCCTGAAGCTCGAGTGCTGGGCTTACAGTTGCAGCAGGATGCAACCGGCGAAGTGACATGGGTTCGCCGTGACATCGATGTGTCTCTACCAGTGCGTATCACCAAGCGCAGTCTGTTTAGCTGGTGCGGTCGCGTCATTGGTCACTACCCGATCTGTGGGTGGTTACGTACAGCATGCAGCTTCGTCAAGCGTCTGTCATCCGAATGTGGCAGCTGGGACAGCGAAGTGTCTGACGTAGTGTACCAGTGCTGTCGTGATCTATCTGCTCGTCTGTGCACCGAGGATCCAGTGCGTGGCCAGTGGCATGTTCCAGTCAGTACCGGTAGAGTGCAAGTGTGGTGTGACGCATCTGACCTGGCGTATGGTGTTGTCCTGGAAGCAGGCGGTGTAACAGTGGAAGACCGCGCGTGGCTCAGGGCCAAGGACGACAAGCGGCATATCAATGTCGCAGAGCTTGAAGCCGCCATCCGAGCTCTGGAATTGGCTGTTGACTGGAACGTCAGTGAAGTGCACCTCCTGACCGACTCTAAGACTGTACACGGGTGGATTCAAGCTACATTACGGAACGCGTCCCGTGTCAAAGTGTCGGGTCTGCAAGCCCTTCTGGTGCAACGTCGTTTGGCTATCCTGTCGGACATGATCGCTGTTGCTGGGCTCAAGGTCACCATCGCGTGGGTGAAAAGTGAGCAGAATCGTGCCGATTGCCTGACCCGTGTTCCGCACCGATGGACAGCTCTCGCCAAGACTGTTCTCAAGTCTGCAGATGAGCGTCGCCATGAGGGTACGTGTGGTATCTCTGTTTCTGTGCCGTTGCCATCAATATCATCGGTTTTTGTCTCACTTGACAAGATAGCTGCTGAACAGCAACGTGATGAATTGATTTGTGCCACTATCTCTGACTTGGTAGCTGGTAAGCCTGTGTCTGTGGCTGCATTCAAGCGTGTGCAGCATCAGCTTGTAGTCGTTGAAGGTGTATTGTACCGCAGTGTAAAGGACCCGATAGATGGTGAAGTCGCAGTGCCCGTTTTACCTATGTCGCTCCGTGAAGAGGTATTGTCGTCTGCACATTCTGCTACTGCCCATGGCAATTGGGAGGCCATGTGGCGCAGTATCCGCCGTCGGTGCTATTTTCCCAAGCTAGCTGAGAGTTGTCAGCAGTACGTCCGAGACTGCAGCCCTTGTCGTTGTGCCAGCTCTATGTCTGCTGGCCCAGTTCCGAAAGTGCGTTCCGACTCGCCCAGCCGACCGTGGGAAGTAGTCCACATTGATACCCTTGAGTTGGGTGCGTGTCATAGTGGCAGGTATCATTGTGTGTTGGTCTGTATTGACTCTTTCACAAAGTGGGCAGAAATTATTCCGCTTCAGAGACATGATGCGTCCAGTGTTGCTGCCGGCCTGGTGGAGTTGTGTACCCGATGGGGTCCTCCACGTGTCATTCGCAGCGACAATGGGTCAGAGTTTTGTAATGCCATGGTCTCTGCATTGTTTGATGTCTTCGGTGTGCATGTTCGCCACGGCGCAGTTCGCCACCCGCAGTCGCAGGGCAGCGCTGAGCGCTTTAACCGTACCCTGCTGAATATGATCCGTAAGACCATTGACTCGTCGTCTGATTGGTTGACAGAGCTCCAGGTATTACTGTATTACTACCGTACTCGCCCCCATGCTGCCATCCAGATGTCGCCAATGATGGCCATGGTCAACTGGGAGCCATGTGACCTGATCGTAGAGCGTCCTGTTGTCGAAGGTTCGCTTATGTCCTGGTCAGCTGAACTATCACTGAAGTGCGCTCGGATTCGTGACTTTGTCAATGATACTGTGGCCGAGTCTGATGCTGTTTTGGCTGAAGAGAATGAGTGTCCGTTTGTCGTTGGTGCCCCAGTTCTTCTCCGTCGCCCAGAACGTCACCAGAAACGGATGACTCCATATGAACCTGGTTGGTCTGTAGTGCATATCGTGTCACCGTCTACCGTTGTCATCAGCAGCACCAACTCCAGTACCGGCCGGATTAGTGAGAAAACGGTCAATGTGGAACTGTTGAAGCCTAATGCGTTGCAAACAGAGCCAGCCCCAGCAGCACCTGCAGATGGTGCCGCTGCAGAGAATGACAGTGACAGTGCCACGTATGTCCGTGTGTTGCCAGCAGCCGAGCCCTCAGTTATGCGGGCATATGGCTTGCGTGATAGGGCTGCTATTGTACCACCAGCACGGTATAGTCACTAACTTTCCGTTGTTGGCCTGCGTGTGCGCATCTGTGTGGGTATGTGTGCGTGCGTGCGTGTGTGCATATGTGTGTCTATTCAAGTCATGTGTATGTTCGTGACATCTTCTTTGCCTTACTTGTTTCTGTTTTATTATTCTTGTGCTTTTATTTATAATGTCATCAGGCGGTGAGGTGTAGTATAAGTTTGTTGATGACATTCAGGTATTCATTGCATGAATGGTTATGTCATCAGGCGGTGAGGTGTAATGGAATTGCATGATTTGCAGTTCAGTATAAAGTAATCAATCTTCTCCTTCGATCTTGTTCAAATAATTCTCTAAATGTACTGATGTTTTGACATCATAGTTTTTCGAAAGATTCCAATAATTTAGTTATCATATGTTGACTCGCTTTGAATCGCTGATCAGAGCATGATCATGTGATCTGATCATGCTGTGCGCCATTTTTGCTATGGTTCTTTGATGCGCGTGAGGGCATGAACCTCGCGGCATCAGGCTGGCTTTTGTGGATCTTTTTACTCTCCTTTTAGACTAATTCCTGTAAACAAGCCGTATTTGGGGTCTTGAGTGTGTGGTCGTGAGGGATCGAGGGAGCCTACAGACGGAATTGGTAGTGCTCTAGGGTCCGACCTAAAGAAGAAAGGAATTCGATTACACTCACTTCCCTCACACTCTGAGCCCCCTACTTATCTGCTGTGGTTGGCTAACACCACCTCTCCATATTGGCCGGAGTTCCCCCTGTGCCTTGAGTTGTTGCAATACATAATTCAATTATCCTTTTTCTGTTGATATCACCTCTACCACTACACTGCGCTCTCAGCCGACTAGACCCGCCAATCCTTTCCTGGGTGCTTCAAAAGCAGCATAGTACTATTTGGCTATGAGAAACACGGCTAGTTACCTGACGATCAGGTACCATCATGGCAACTGTTCTGAAGTTGATCTTAAGATTTTCTGGCAACTCCTGTCGACCGGCGTAGCCAGGGTTCTGCAGTTCAGGAGAGCAGCAGCAGCAGCAGCAACAACAACAATAATAGTGTCTATGAAAGAATGAAGAGCAAACAGACGGTAGTTAGAGAGTTACGTAGGCAAGCAGGCAGGCAGGCGGGCGGGCAGGCGGGCAGGCAGGCAGGAACAGGCCAGACTGGAGAAGAGTAAGGAGAGTAAGGACCCGGGTGGACAGAACGGTTGCGCATTCAGGAAGCAAGCGCACAGACGCCAATCAATATAGCCAAACTAGATCAGTGATCCACACCGGGTTATTGGTGCACTACCACAACCAGTCCCTAAGCACCAGTACCACTGACATGCACCAGAGACAAATAGTGGACATGATTAGCTGTTCAGTTACGTACCATGGTCAGGAAAAGCCCAAATTCTGGATTCATTGAAACAATGTCACCATCAGTGAAGGTGAAAGTCGGCTTGCGATCTTTCTTACACTGCAGAATGATGGCAATCTGTTGGGCGGCTACTGACAGTACGGGTAGCTCTATACGATTGAATTCATCAAAGCAACCCCAGCTACCTGACTGAGCCAAGCCTGGACGAGAGGATAGAAGTGCAGTAAGTTAAAGCAGTATGCACATACACACACATGCACATACACACATGCACACACACACACACACACACACACACACACACACACACACACACACACACACACACACACACACACATGCACACATGCACATACACACATGCACACACACACACATGCACACACACACACACACACACACACACACACATGTACACACCCATATGCACACACCCACATGCACACAAACACACACAAGCACGTACGCACGCACCAACACACATACACACACACACACACACAAACACACACACACACACACACACACACACACACACACACACAGAGAAGATCAGCGTTTGCGCAAGTCAAAACTCTGATTTTGGTATGTGTACCAATTGAAGTCAAGAAAGAGAATAGCTCAGGTAGCTACCATGCACCTTGACAATATTATCTACTTACCGGTCTTGCTCAATGAAATGCGGGGTAATGGGTGTGTTAGCACCCAGCACCAGTACACAGCCAGTGTTTGCAGGCTCAGGGCGGCAACACAGCGCCCTGCACCGGTGCGAGACCCCGTGAAGACAGTCGAGGCTACATAGTGCCGGTCCCTTGCCAATTTACAGCCCAATAAAAGTTAGTCACAGGTTCAGGGCCTCACACCAGTGACAGGTCAGTGTTGGCAGGCTTGGGGCCGCTACTACACAGTGACTGGCTTTAGCTGACTCAGTTACATGACCAGATTTCATTGAACAACTAACCCGGGGCACTGTTCTCTACTATGTAGTGATTGCATACACACCAAGGATAACTTGCGTAGGGGAAACAGCTGTGTTGACAAGCTGACGGAACAGCACAATCTACAGTGGTGCTTTCAAATTTGAACGGGAGCAGCCAAAACGTGAAGGAGGGCACAGCGACATGCAATGTTGCCTTGACTACAACCCTGGCTTCGTCACCGGCTAGCAATACAGACCCAAGCGGAGTATGTATAGAAATGATTGGTAAGCACAAAGCTGTCTGGTAGGCTACACATTTACCTAATAGTATCACTCGCCCACTGCAACCTCATTGTATCCACTCAGTGTGCATATATATGTACTGTAATGTCTAGCAAAGTGTCCCTTACCTGCACGGTGTATTCCCAAAACTATTCTCACAATCTCCAGTGCAAGTCTGGATCGTATACATTGTGTTCAATGAGTGGACAGCATATGAACCATTCACGCACAAAATGACAACAGTATGCTCACATATGCTACTTCTCCATAAGCTCACCTTTGTAGATACGTCCCAACCCACGATAGTCCATCTGATCAGAACAGTTGAAGACGACAACGTACTTGCCCAGTGCCTTGCCCATGTCCTTGGTCGTCTCCGTTTTACCAGTCCCAGCAGGACCGGCCGGGGCACCACCCAGTGCCATGCCCAGCGCCTGTGCTAGGGTGATGTAGCAGCGATCAGTCAGCGGTGTGATCACCAGACGATCCGTGCAGCCCAAGAACTCGTTCTGGTATACGAACGTTACGTCGGTGATGCAGATCTCCGTCATGTTGGTGTCAGCCTTAAAGTAAAACCGTGTCTGCTTTAGCCACTCAAAGTCGGTGTGGGAGCGAACATCTGTCGACACCTAAACAACGACGTTGGTGACAATGACAACAACAAAGACAACGATGATGACAACGACAACAGCAACAACATCAACAAAAACACCTGAAAACAAATGTGCTGTTGAATGATGCATGTGTTCAGGAAAAGGGATTTAGAGAGAAGAGCCTGTGGAGATGCAGTGTGTGTGTGTGGGGGGGGGGGGGGGAGGCTGTGAGGAGAAACCCATGACAGACTTGAACCAGGTCTTCATTCCCAACTCTGTGGTGCTTGTTCAGAACCAGTACACACAGGACACGGACACGGCCATGGTCTGTGGAAACAATGTGCATGGCGAGCAAACAGAACAGTTGGTAATTCAAATTCGAACGGTTACACGTCCAGGCCACACAGTACCTTCCCTATCAGCATACAGTGAAACCTGTGTAAGACGACCGCTCAAGGGACCTTCAAAACGTGGTCTCTGTTGCCAGGTGGTCTCCTTATCCAGTGTCATTCGACCGGAAATAGCATCCCTTGGTCTGGTTGCATTGGTCTTTTGCGACAGGTGGTCGCCTTGTCCGAGTGGTTGCCTTAACAGGTTTTACTGTACCAACAATGCACTGGACAAGAGAGGAGTGAGCATGCACAGACACTGCTCAGAAGAAGAATTACCAGCTCATCAAAGATGTCTCGCTGGTGAACGTGAATGGTGATAAGTGTCTCAAACTTTGTCCTCTCCAGCTTGGTGAGGTTCTGCAATGTGGTGTCGATGAGCTTGTTAAGCAGACTCTGGAAGCTCTCGTTGGTCTTGTTCATGATCTCCTTGTCATCAACGGCCATACGCAGTGCTCGCTGTGCGTCTCGCGTCCAAGTCATTTGGATGGCCAGCAAGCCGACCTGCAACGACAAGTTGAACATCACACAGAACAGTGCAGACAATACACACAAGATAGCAATAAGTCAATGTGAATCAGACTGTGCTCACGGTCATCCTATGGGGCACCGCTGTTGAGTAGAACGTACTAATAACCTTCATCCCTGTAGGATTCCAGCATGCTGTTCACTGCGAGGACTCTAGGGCCTTTGCTACATGCTGCTTACTGCACAACTACTTGAAGTAAGCATGCACAACTCTTTTTTTAAAGTTATGTCAAGTGCTGCTTTTCCTGAGTGCCATTTCCTTTGGCTTGGTTTGATGTCACATGTCATTATATTCTGAAGTCCCTGAGTGAGAAGCCAACAATCCTAGGCTGCTATAAACACCGTACTTGCCTCAAGTCAAGTCATGATCATACAACCAACTATCTGAACTGACCTGAGCTGGCGAGCTCCACACAAAATCCATCAGACTGAACTTCTTTGAGCTTAGAGACGAGTATGCTTGCCGAATTATCTCGTGCAGGGATCTCTGGGCTTCCATCAGTAGGTCATTCAGCCAAACCTCTACATTACCTTGAGCAAAGATCGGCTTTATTAACTTCATACAGTACAAAAGGAACAGACAGACAAACACACAATCACATACACACGCACACACGCGCACACATTCGAACACACATGCAAACCTTAGGCCTTAGAAACCCCTCACCCGAGGTGATGCTAGCAATGCTACAGCAGACACCACAGTAACTCATGCTGGAATAGCATCATTCAACAACTTGCAAGGCTGAAGAATTTTGTCCACTATTTTGCCTGGCCGATACTGCACAGCTCATGAAGTGGTTGTTCTGGTCAGTGACTCTATTATTTGGACAAGAACCATACTCTGACATGCATAAGTTACTGGTAAACAACCCAGGAAAATGTTAAAAGAGAAGACAGTGTACCATTATCGGCAGGAAATGTCACCGCAACCTCTCGATTAGAAATTGACTGCACGGTATGGGATACGCACATGTTTTACCATGAATGCCAGTTGCATGAGAAGTATGAAAACAAAACGGCGTATATAACACACGTGCACGCACGCGCACGCGCGCACACGCGCGCACACGCACGCACACGCAGGCGCGCACACATACACACACGCACACACACACACACACACACACACACACACGCGCGCGCGCGCGCGCACACATACCGGGATAGTCTCTGGTTCTCGAGAATTGATTTCCAAGATCTTGTTGTAGTCGAGCTTGTCGAAGGTGACTGTTTTGACATTGTCGAAGATGCTGAGTAGATGTGGCTACATCACAAGCACAGTACAGGGTGTATCATCAAACACAGCTAACATCACTGATCAAGAATAGATCTGAATAAGGCACCGACTTTGTAATAAGCAAAGTAGACCATAAAGGTAGAGAATCTACTAGTGATGGGTACTTTTAGACATTTCATCCAGCGCAATCATACTGCGTGTGTTGTCCGTAAAAAAAGCTCCAACACAGACAACACACATGCAACATACACATGTGACATTAGGCTCTTAGCAGCAATACCTACAACCATTGATTGCCCTAGATGACGGTCTGAATCACTCTTTAACAGTGCGGCTTGTTCGGATATGCATGCTTGATTGCACACAACACATACACACCTGTATTCGGAGCCATTCAATTGTATTTCATGTGCAAGACACAATACTGTACTGTGTCACATACTCTAAACCCTGCACAATGCACAACTCAACAGGACAGGCGCAAGAAGTTTTGGATTGGTCCTGCCATACCCTAGCTGTTCATACCAGGCGTGTGCGACGGTGCCCTTTAAGGGGGGGGGGGTTCGGGGGGCGTCCCCGGGAAAATTTTCAAAAAATGAAGCAAAATCCTGCATTTTGAGTGCAAAAAAGGGGGTTCCGGGCGCCCAGGAACCCATACGGGGCACGTGCCTGCATACTTTGTTTATGATATGGAGGGTGTACACATGACCTCCTCAACAGTAAACACAAGTTGGTAACCGGTCCAGGTTGGTCCGGCCATGGCCTAACCAACCTGACCAGCCAGACCAGCCGGACCAGCCGGACCAGCCGGACCAGTCTGACCAGCCGGACCGGTTCCGCCGGGCCTGCTCAAGGTCTCTTTCACTACCATGCACGGTAACAAGTATGAAGGCGATAACGCTGTGTGCATTCGTCTCTGTTGGTCGCACTGTGCGGAATGAATACCAGCCCAACTCTCGCATACCTGTATGGTATGAGAGTCGCTTGCTTGCCCAAGGATCTCCAACAGGACAGGGTCGGAGACGAAGAAAAAGCGAGGAAACACCAGTCGCTTCTTCTCCAAGTACCTGTTTACAATGGGAGCACACAAAAACAGGAGGGACGAGGGAAAGAGAGAGAGACAAAGAGAGAGAGTGGGAGGGGAGAAAGAGAGGGAGGGAGAAAGAGACGGAGAGAGAGAGAGAGAGAGAGAGAGAGAGAGAGAGAGGGGGGGAGAGGGAGGGAGAAAGAGAGGGAGAGAGGGAGAGAGGGAGAGAGAGAGAGAGGCAGAGAGAAAGAAAGAAAGAAAGAAAGACAGACAGACAGAGATGCACACACACACACAGAAATCTTGCATCAGGCTGGTCAATCGCCAGAAAATATTGTTGTTGCATGTTAGAACAGAAACCCTACTACTCAGCGGCCATGGCAGCTACACACTTACCCTGTCAGTGACTTCTGACAGAGCTCCAGCTGTTCTAGGAGGTGTGGTAACAGCTGTGTCAGTGTCTCGTCCTCCGTACAGCACCTGACAATGTTGCGGTTCTCGTGGCCACGCTGCATGATCTTCTGCCAGGATTTGTCGATAGCAACAAAGCGCTTTGCTTCCTGTTATCATACACACACACACACACATAAACATATACAGACATGCATCATAAAACGGATCAGTACATTCAGCTTGGCCCACGGCAAACCCCCCCCCCCCCCCCCCCGGGTACATTATAACCCTGGAAACCCTGGAAACATCTTTAGCTGGATGAAGAAATCCCAGAGCTGCACTAGAGGTCCTTTTCGAGATTTAGCATACTTCATAGAGCACCCCCCCCCCCCCCCAATACAAACCTCCAAAGCAATATTTAAAGCAGATGCTCGGTCCATGCCAACTGTGAAGCTAATACAGTGAAACCTGTGACTAACGACCACCCCTTGGGGCCAGAGAAAGTGGTCTTTAGTGGCAGGTGGTCCTTAGTTACAGGTTTGCACTGCACAACCATAATGAGAGGCCGTCCATGCCTGGTGAAGTGGTCTGTAGTACCAGGCTGGTCGCTAGTCACGGTGGTCTTTAGTTACAGGTTTTACTGTAGTACCAGGCTGGTCGCTAGTCACGGTGGTCTTTAGTTACAGGTTTTACTGTAGTACCAGGCTGGTCGCTAGTCACGGTGGTCTTTAGTTACAGGTTTTACTGTAGTACCAGGCTGGTCGCTAGTCACGGTGGTCTTTAGTTACAGGTTTTACTGTAGTACCAGGCTGGTCGCTAGTCACGGTGGTCTTTAGTTACAGGTTTTACTGTAGTACCAGGCTGGTCGCTAGTCACGGTGGTCTTTAGTTACAGGTTTTACTGTAGTACCAGGCTGGTCGCTAGTCACGGTGGTCTTTAGTTACAGGTTTTACTGTAGTACCAGGCTGGTCGCTAGTCACGGTGGTCTTTAGTTACAGGTTTTACTGTAGTACCAGGCTGGTCGCTAGTCACGGTGGTCTTTAGTTACAGGTTTTACTGTAATTACACAATGCCATGTTCAGACATATCATGCATGCCCTGTGTACACACAAGACTTACCTTTGGTAGCTGCTTGGCGATGTCGCCAGCCACAAACACCGCTTCCAGATACACCCAGAGGTTCTGTACTTGCATCCAACTTTCCACAATGTCCGACGTGCTGCTCAGCTTCTGCACCCAAGTCTGAATTTTCTTCTTGAAGTGAGTGTTATATCTGCGTGGGAAGGAACAGAAAGCGCAAAAGCAAAGTCCGAGTCACGGTGACATTTTGATATGAAGGCGACGCGAGTCAAGTGATCCAATGCATTTCGATTGAATGGCATGCAGCCAGTGCTACACACAGAATGACAGTGGTGCTGCGAGATGTGTTGCTTGATGACATTTCGTACACGCATTACCAGAACGGTTCTAATATGACATACACCTTCCTACAAGTAGTCAATGCAATTTGGTCCTAGCACATGTGGGATACTTGCCTGTACAGGAAAACCTGTGACTAAAGACATCCGTGACTAGCGACCAGCCTGCTACTACAGACCACTTCGCTAGGCACGGACGGTCTCGCATTCCTAATTATATGGTTGTGCGGTGCAAACCTCTAACTAAGGACCACCTGCCACTAAAGACCGCTGTCTCTAGCCCCAGAGGTTGGTCGTTAGTCACTGGTTTTACTGTGCTTGGCGGCATCTGTAGCCAATCTGCTGTGCCAACACAGAAGGTTTTTCAATTTATTGCTGTAAAAAATATCTTGTCTCTGCATCACCTATTCATACCACAGACTAATTAGCGGCTATGCTCACAGAGTGGTTAAGGGTTGCGTTCTCCCCTGTTTCGCGCTTCTTGTTCGACCTCTCAATAGTTTGCCATGGATGGGTGTCGCCCTCATCTCTGGGATTGCAAGCCGTATTAGCATTGTGAGATTGCATTCAACGAATAAATAAATACATCTTTCTAATCTGCGCATACTAACACAGCAGACTTAGCTGCTATGGCAACAGCTACTGACCTGTTGCTCATGAGAGAGCTGAGCACCATCAGGCTATCCTCCAGTGAGGATATGGCCTCGCTGATGTGGTCGCTCTTCAGGAGCATTTCGCCGCGATTCTTGAACTCGTTGAACTCTAGCTCACGGAAGTTCCAGTCACTGATCACGCCCTTCAGCTTGGCTTCGATGTCCTTCTCTTTCACAGCTGCTATGCATATGTCCTACATGACATACAGAAGTGTTGCAAGGCATGGTGAATGAGAAGAGAGCAATCGGTAATTATTAGATGATACTGGAAGCTCAAGAAGAGCTGCTTCACATAGCATAGCTCAACAAACAACACAGCACATTGCAGTATTGTGTTGACCCATTGCAGTATTGTGTTGAAATTTGCTGATACTATGAAACAGACACAACAGACACTAGAGCAAAGACATACTTCTATAAAGTTGAACAGTGCCCAACATTGAAGCACAGGGCACAGGGGGGGGGGGGGAGGGGGGGGGGGGGGAGATCCACAGACCTAGAAGTACAAGCACATGTTGGTGGGAATCAAAAGTGAAGGCTATGGAAATACCCCCCCCCCCCACACACACACCCAGTGACAAACCCCCAACCATGCAACTACTCACCTCCACATCCTCCTTGAATACCAGTATGTCGGCATCCAGGACGGATTTCAACATGAACTGCGGCGCCTCCACGTCCAGGTTATGCTTGGTCAGCTTGGATATACGCTCCCAGTGACGCGGCTGCATGGACTTGTTGGAGAGCATCTCGAGCAGCGGACAGATCTCATTCATGTCATCAATCATTTGCTTGAGGTTGTGGAAGGCGGGCCACTCCTTCAGGGCCTTCGGGAGCTTGCGGCATCTAACAGAAACGGAAGAAACAAGTAGGTGGCAAGAAGAGGAGGTGGAAACACGGAACATTAAAAAAAAACTGCTCAGCAGTACTACACCAGATGGGGTAGTTCTATCATGGGCCATTGGTTCCATGCCCTACAGTAAGGGTAGTGTCCAATGGACTGTGTATACCAGCTCTAGATGATGACATTGTGCAGTATCAAATCATAGCCTAGGACTGGTTGTGGCAGCATTTATGATCCACAGCAAGAAGGCAGCAATGCCTGTACCTATGGTGAAGTAAAATAAAGATAGCATAACTTAACAAAAGTTTCATCACTGTGACTTTGCAACAGAATTCCACTGTGCTATTGCAGCCGTGCAGTTTCACCATTATACATCTGTCACTAACACATAACACCAGCACCACTCTGAACATAACCAGCTGCACTGCAGCAGGAGCATTACCAAGGTAACCAGCTGCACTGCAGCAGGAGCATTACCAAGGTGTTTGACCAACGTATGAGATAATCACATACTTAACAAAACCTAGCAAGGTTGAACCAGGCCAGTGACTGTCCGGAGACCGAGATAATCAGACAATTGATCATACATCACCCACTCACCTATTCTGGAATTCCTGCAGCTCGTTGTTCATCTTCTCCAGGTCCATGTCTGTCCACACAATGTCAGAGTACCTATCAAACGTCGTGTTTACGCTGTTCCACAGGCCGTAGAGTTTCTGCAGTAGGTTCAGCTCTTTGCGAATGGCGTCCAGTTCAGGATACTCATTCACGTCCAGACCGAAGAGTTCTTCTCCGTCGCTGTATGCCATATACTTGCGCCACAGGTCATCAAAGCGGATCTAGGATGTGTTGTGGGTGAGACAGATCAGTGCCGTCGATAATGTCACATGCCGATGGTACAACACACAGCGGAGGTGATGCAATTGCCACACATACTTCCAGCTCTAGATTATTCCTTCAGACAACTGACTTAAAAGAGTTTTATGTCCAGTACATTACCTCAATAATACAATTGAGATTCTTAGAAGCTGTAAGATATCGATGTGATTTCTCCACGGTCTTATCTATATCCAGTCCGGGAAATCCAGTCAGTGTGCAAGGATTGTTTGCTGTAGGTTGCCCGCTGCCACTTCATAGTCACAGATGCCCATTGCAGCCCTACATCATACTGTGCAGCTCAAGACATCCAATTCACAGTACAGACAAGCAGACACACAACACACAACCCAGTTGAATGCACCCGGCGCCACACCAGACTTACCTGATAGGCTACAAGGCGATCGCTAGCCTCAATGGGCTCCAGGCCTTGCACCATGGGGCCATCCTGAGTGCACAACACATGACAACAATGTCAGCAATGCCAAACGACATTCATGAATGAATCTCGATGTCACATAACCAGGCAAAAAAAAGAGATCGCAACACTACCTCCAGTGCATTGCATGCGCTTGCGCTTTTGCCGTAGACGTCATGCGCCATGAAAAAAGTCAAGATGTAGCAACAGAGACAGGCGAAGAGCGCTTATATGTTCCTTGGTCCTTTTCTTTATTATGAATCTCCATCCGAGTCTAACCACCTACAGTGGTGGACAATATTATTCGCCGCGGGTCATTTATTGCAGCCAAACCTACAGGTATGGCAAGACATGCATATACATACCTTAGTTGCTTGCTTGCACATCTACACACTAGTTTAACACACTGAAATCTACAGAATATGATCCTATGGACATTTAATACAGCATTAACCCGACTGCTGCATGGACGATAAGTGCTGCGAATAGTGATCATGCGCCCTGGCCTGAGTAGCTCGCTTGGCTAATTGAAAGTCTGCCGACCTGGGCCACATTATGTTGCTAAGGCATGCACAACCCCAGTCACAGCGCGCAAGTTGGTTGAGTTTGGCCGTCAGGAGGCCAGCGCAAGGTATCCGGGGCGCGGGTCTGATTCCAGCGAGGGGCAATGTGGTACCCCGCAGCGCAAGGGTAGCGTGATACCCTAAGCCAGCGTGCGTGCTGCATGAGTAGCGTGATACTCGCTGAGCGCTTTTGCTGTTGCCTAGCAACGCGTTTCTGTCTTTCCTGGGCCCCCAACGCATGTTGGGTGGCCCTGCGCATGACTGCACGTTGTCATAGCAACCTTGGAAACCTCAAGCCGGTTACCAACAAGCTAGGAATCAGACCAAGCCGCCGAATGCCCCCGCCGGCCCCCGGCGCTTCATTGCAATTGAATTAATATTTGTCCAGAATAGTGAGCTAGGACAGATCAAGAGGCGTGGGTGGGAGGGAGAAATTGCAAAACAGTTGGATGCACGCAGCAGCACAGCTAGCAAGAGAAAGAGCCGTGGATGGGTTTGTTCCTGTTTTTGATGGCTGTGGCCATCCGTTGGCCCAGCGGTCTCGTGTGAGTACGGTGTTTGTTCGTGCTGCCAGCTCGAGCCCGGCATTTGTTTGCGCTGGCAGCTCGGGCCCGGTGCGCGAGTGAAACCGAACCGTGACAAAGGCTTTCGCTCTTTAGTGCTATTGACTGGCTTTTCATACGATGCCTATTGATGTCTAGAGACATGCTGTCTAGCCTTCCCCTAGTACGCATTCACGGGGCTTTGTTGAAGTTCGTGCCGTGAACTGCCAAAGGGAACTGTTTGAATGGTGCTGGGGCGAGTGCGACATTACGGCGTCCCTGCAGCCGGCCTAATCGCGTTTGTCGCCACAACCGATTTTATTATTATTATTTTGCTTGTTCGCGTTGGCATCAACCTGCATAAAGCAGGTATATAGCCTTCGCTTAAGCTGCCATAAAAAAAGAAAGCTCATCCTAAGCGAGAGGGCTAGAGGAAAAGATAACGATAACGAGATACAGAATACAAAGAAATACAATGAGTTTTAAAAACATAATACAGCATGATAACTAAAAATGTTCTGTACCACCAATATGTAGCAGTGAAAGGGGGACAAAGTTGTGAAACCCTTACATCGGCATAGGACGAGAAGAAGTCGACAGTGTCGATTTTGAATGCAGCAACCTTCTCCAGCAGATCTTGGCGGAAGTGAGGCTGCACTGATGCGAGATGGACTTGGACATCGGACGCCTTGTTGCTCACGCGCTCCCATCTGTAGCGCAGAGAGTCCACTCGTTCGACTTCGTCTCGGTGCGGATGAAAGCCATGCTTGTTCAAGAATGTATATGTGTCCTGAAACCATAAGAAAAACGGCAGTCCAGTCACATAGGTTACCATATGTTTGTGTGGGATATGGTCACTGTGCTAGCAAGTATCTACAGTGCATTTCAAAACTATAGACGCGTAGGGTTTTTGAAATATTTCAAATTTGGCTGGAACTTTTTGAGAATAGTTTTCGGAATATTGCTCAGGATCGCTCCACAATTACTCTCATATAGTTTCTAAAGGATTGGATAACAGACGCCCAATTTGGAAAAATTTATGCACAAAGTGATCACAGATTTTATGTGGTATAGATGCTGGCATAACGGTTTTTGCCTAGGTACGCGTCTATAGTTTTGAAATGGACTGTAGAGCAATTATAGCCATGCGTATGTTATATTGATGTGTGTAGTGTAATGTGATGCACGAGCCTGAGACCTGGTCACAATCATCCTCTACACAGCAGCAGATTGAGCAGCATGAGCAAAGGCGATGCAGTAGTTCCTACCTCTATCGGTGTGGCATTGTGATCAAACCGAACTCCGTTCTCTCGCAGTCTCTTCAGCGTCGCCATTGCCAGACGAACGTCATCCAGATCCTTAATCTCTCGGTTCAGCTTGCGCTGGCAATCATCCATGAAGGACACCAGCTCCTCCATCATGTTGCGGTACTTCTCGTTCATGTGCTTGCAGAAGAACATGATCCACCTGCGGCTTTCGGCGACCAGAGCGTGCTTCAGGTTGTCTGCCAGGAGGACGATCAACAGCCCAGAAACACACACACACGCACGCACGCACACACACACACACACACACACACACACACACACACACACACAAACGCGCACATACAAACACACACACACACACAATAAGCAGCTCTCACACACACATGGGAGCATTGCATGCACTTTCGCCGTAGACGTCATGCACCTTGAAAAAAGTCTATCATGTAGCAACAGAGACAGGCGAAGAGTGCTTATATGGACAGATCATTAAAAGGTGTCAGAATACTACCTAGAAAATCCTAGAAAACAAAAATAAACCAGGGATTGAATTTAATTAGGCTGGATCCAATTTCCACTCTTGTAGATCCGTTTTACCCAGCCATATTCTAACCGAGATCTTACCTGCTATATATGGCCGCGGACAAGGAAACACTAAAGATCAATCGGCTGCACTATGTTACTAAGATGTCACGGGGACTCTGCATACACGCAGGTCCACCTGCGGGACCTTCCCCATATGTAGTCGCTGCATATTTCCCCGTCCTTGGAGTGACCGCCTCGTTTCTGTTGACTTATGGAATACTAGTATAATAACAATTATAACATACAATGACAATGTCTTGGTGTGTGATAATAGTCATTCAGCCTGAAACACAACACGGTGTCCATTATCACTACTTACTTGTACAAATGGCCAGTGGGCCCACATTACACGTCTCCTTCAAGCCCGTGATCTCGTAGATGGCACGTTGATAGTTACGTATCTCCTCCTCAAACTGATTCTGGTGCGTCAGATTCTCCAGGAACACCTTCAGTTTCTGTGATCACCGGCAATGCGAAAGACGGAAAGAAGTCTGCTTGAGGTAATCGAAATTATGCACACACGCATGCCTACATGTAATATACCCTCTCTCTCTCTCTCTCTCTCTCACACACATACCATGTACCATGTACCATGTATACGCCCGTCGCAAGAGAGGCACGCAAATCTGCAAATGCACTGGATGTGCACCGACAGATTTTCTCTTATAGCAACGATAGCGAACAAGATCTGAATGAGACAGATCAAGACTTGCGTCAGATAACTGTCTAATCCACACAACTGGCGAAGCCATGTGAATCGACCACCAATGCACACCTGGTCTACACCACACGGAGTACATCGGCATAAAACGGCCAAGACAGTTACCTACACACACATACACGCATACACACACAAAGCAAGTACAACGTTTCTAGGACAACAACACAGCAGCACCATACCGTGTCCTTGTCCTCTTTCCACAGGCGCTTGTAACGGTAGAACTCAGCCATGGCCACTTTCACGGGTTTGTCTAGAGATTTGATACTCATGGCTAGCTGCGTGATGAGCCGCATGATGTCTTGGTGCATGCAGATTGTGTTAAAGTAGCACTTGTTCTTGCCTGGTACAGTACCGTCGTCACCAAGCTTCATCAGGTTAGAGACCAGTTCACGCATCTCCTCCACTTCCTTCAGGCGCTTCTCCTCTTCTTCTTTCTGCGCCTTGATCTTTGCTTGCGTGGACAGTTCGGTACCGCCTGCAGATAGGGACGAGATATGGATATGCATCAGCTGCACAGTACATACAGACGGCTATCTCCAGGGAGTATTAAAGGGGAAGTTAAGGCAAAAATTAAAAATTCACTAGTTGTAGTCTTCGGGGTGCTGAGTCGAATGGTCTTGGTCCGAGGAAGCTGAGACGCTCTTCCTACTTGAATCCCAATCGAACTCGCGCACTTTCACTGAAACTGGGTGACTGCGCCCTACTAGATGGGGATTTGTATGCAAAATGTCACTAAAAGCGCCATTTCGTTCTTATAAAAGCACGGATGACCGCGATTGGCCCATATGTTGTAGTCTTTTGGACGCTGAGTCGACTGGTTTTGGTCCGAAAAGGCTGCGATGCAGCGTTCCTCCTTTATTCCCAATCGAACATGGTTGAACAAGCGGTCACGTGCTCCTGGGTGCCCAAATCACCTGGTCACCACGCCAGCAGGCGAGAACTTTCACACCAAGGTTCAACTCGAGTGACAGGACTGCACCCAAAAAAGGTCAAACAAGCTAGTAAGTTGTACCCTGCAGGCACGGTGACCAGGTGACTGGCGTACGCAGGAGCACGTGACCGCTTGTTCAACCATGTTCGATTGGGAATAAAGGAGGAACGCTGCATCGCAGCCTTTTCGGACCAAAACCAATCGACTCAGCGTCCAAAAGACTACAACATATGGGCCAATCGCGGTCATCCATGCTTTTATAAGAACGAAATGGCGCTTTTAGTGACATTTTGCATACAAATCCCCATCTAGTAGGGCGCAGTCACCCAGTTTCGGTGGAAGTGCGCGAGTTCGATTGGGATTCAAGTAGGAAGGGAGCGTCTCAGCTTCCTCGGACCACGACCATTCGACTCAGCACCCCGAAGACTACAACTGGTGAAATTTTAATTTTTGCCTTAACTTCCCCTTTAACCTCTTATGCAGGATCATGTGCAAGTTTGCTATGGAAGAATGTGAGACTTTAACAAAAAGGTTGAACTACATAAACTCATGCACACACTCTCTCTCTCTCTCCTTCCCTGGTGCTGTTTCACTTGGCTGCACAAGTACTGATATCAGCGTGTGGTAGCGTTGTTGCTGGAGAGCTAAGGGGGAGGGGGAGGAGGAGAGAGGGGGTAATCCCTACATGGCTTCCATTACATTCGGACTTAGGCTTTCACAGTACAGTCAGACCTCGCTTATCCGGTCCTCTTTTATCCGGATCCCTCACCATCCGGAAGGAAATAGCTAGTTACAGATTTAAGGCAGACGTGATGCATCAACATAACCGGCGTTCGATTATCCGGTTCCCTTGCCTATCCGGACATTTTCGTGGAAAACGGGTGTGTACGGTTAAGCGAGGTCTGACTGTACGTCAATTTTCAACAGCACTCTGGCTGAGTTCCCACTCAGTTCCTGGTGCAGGCTGGGCAAAGAGCAACACTGCCAACGGAAGGCCAGAAGCTAAGAGGAACACTGCCAACAGAAGCATACAGCGTTCCCAGAAAAGAATATCCCAACCTGTGCTTGTCTCCCCAGGACCTCCACCGCCTCTCGGTCTGCCTGCAAACTTTGTCGTGAACGTCTGCGCATCGTCGTTGCGCTCCTTTTCGGCCTCCTCACGCCGGGCGCTGATGATCGCCACTGCCTTGTCCATGCTGCCGTCGTACTTTGCCCACTCGGTGACGTTCTTGAACGTTCCCAGCAGCTTCTGCATGGCAGTGTTGATGACCAGCTGGAGTGCCTCTAGCGTGGGATTTGTGGCGAAGCCGGGGTACACCAACTCCATATCAACTGCAAAGCACGGCTGAACAGTGTGCACGCACGGATACACACAGATACATTATGTGTGCAGAGACATGCACAGACACACACATACAGAGTGTGTGTATCAAAGTTGTGCAGAGTGTATCCAGGATATGCCAACTCCATGCCAACTGCAAAGCAAGGCTGAACAGTATACACATGCATATGCACATGCACAGACGCACACACGCACGTACGTACGTGTCACGTCCCTGGATGTGACAACTGCTGCCTGATAGTCCTGTGACAGCAGGATCTACCTATACTAGCTATAGTGAGCAGCTCTGTGCTGAGCTGTCACGCCTTTTTAGTACAACGTGGTTTGGCCAGTGTCTTGTCCCACGTGCTTAGCATGTAGGTTGAGCGACACGCGCTTTCCCACGTAGGTGACATGCCTTCTTGGCATGACACGTCATGTGATCCAAGGCCGGAACCTGGTCAGGTAGGTTCTCGCGTTGTACGTTTCCTCGAAGTGCTTCACTTCCTGGAAATGTGACTCCAGGCTTTGTGCAAAACCACGTCACTACAACATTCAACAAGTCACTTACTATCGCTATCGAATTTGTCACGTCCTACTTTGCCACTTTGCAGGATGGAGGGAGCGCTGCTCAATAAAATTGAAAGCTTGTCAGGAGAAATGAAAGCAGCAGGAGCAGCGTCGGAGCAGCGCTTGTCAGGAGAAATGAAAGCAGCAGTAGGAGAGATTCAAGAGAGGCTTACGCAGGTGGAAAACGACTGGAAGAGAGGCTTACGCAGGTGGAAAATCGAATGGAAGGAGTAGAAGCGAGGCTTTCTGCCGTGTAAGTTGTCGTGAACCAGCTAGATACAAGGATGCTTCAACTGCATGGCCCCGCGCAGTAGGTGGTGAACAATGGTGACTTCGATTGGTAAGCGTTTTCTATGTAAGTAAGGACTCATTCACGCTTGTCTCAACCTTCGTCTTCACCTTGGACTCTTGTCCACATTCATCAGTTTTCCGCAGTACATTGTACTGTCACATCCGCACTGCGCGGCTGTATGCATTTGTCCCCTGTTGTTGCACTTACCGGTACCTGCATTTTTTACATTCACGGAGCGGTTGAGTACATTATTTCCCTCCAACTGTGTCTGTGGTGCACGTTGCCTCTTGTTTCTATATCTGGCTGTCTGTGCCTGTATCTATTCTCGGGCTCTTGTGTGCAGGTTTTCCTTTTATGACTCTGTCTTTGTATCTAGCTCTTTTGTCCTGTCTCTGGTTGCCTGCCTGTGCATGTGCCTTCTGTCCGTACTTCTACTGAGTCTTGGTCTAGCATCTACCGGTACCTGTAGATTTCTTCCTTTTCTAACTCCGATATGTTGGAGGTGAGATATTACTATGTGTCCCACCCTTCACATGATCGGCCAAAGAACAACTGGCGCTGTGCTGGGTTAAAAAAAAACTTTAATTATGCTGTATTCGGCTGATGGCAATGGTGTTCGCACCAAAACCTGTGGTGGATTGGACTTGCATCCTGCATCTCCAGTTGACTTACCTATTGTATCCGTCGCGGAGCCTGGTGGATGACACGTCCGGAACTGGCAACGTTGCGGTATCTCACCGACTACCATATCGGTCGAGGATAATCACGGGGACGTGATTCGTCAACGGCGGGGGAAATGTCACGTCCCTGGATGTGACAACTGCTGCCTGATAGTCCTGTGACAGCAGAATCTACCTAGTGAGCACCTCTGTGCTGAGCTGTCACGCCCTTTTAGTACAACGTGGTTTGGCCAGTGTCTTGTCCCACGTGCTTAGCATGTAGGTTGAGCGACACGCGCTTTCCCACGTAGGTGACTTGCCTTCTTGGCATGACACATCAAGTGATCCAAGGCCGGAACCTGGTCAGGTAGGTTCTCGCGTTGTACGTTTCCTCGAAGTGCTTCACTTCCTAGAAAGGTGACTCCAGGCTTTGTGCAAAACCACGTCACTACAACATTCTACGGGTTTCCACGATGCCTCAGTGCTTTGTGCAAAGAGCCAAGACTAACCAACCGAGCTAAGTGCAAATAGTGCAGAGCCAAGACGTGTGCAAGAACCAAAACCGTCACCGCACGAGAGGTCAGAGTATCACGCAAGCAAGACCAAGAATGCAGCAGAACGTACCATAAGAAGCCGCTGAACTATGGCACATTGTGTGAGCGGGCTCCCCAACATGACCCTCATATACGCACATTGTACTCTGGCGTGGGTGAGCGGGCTCCCCACGTCCCAATTTGGTCTTTCTTTTCTCCATCACAGTCTTTCTCTTTCTTCTCGAATGATTACGTATGTGCATTCTGCTTTTCTGCTGACTGGCTGCTCATATTCCAGTTTTACCTGTTCTAGTATTTCCTGGAAATACATCGTACCATTCTAGGCAATGATCACGCCACATCTCTAAATTGCGCTATAAAAGAAGCTCTCGCTCTCTCTTTTACTGCAGTCGAGACTCGGTCTCAGCTCTCTGTTTTGGTTTACTTTGAGCTCGGACTTGAATGACTACTCACAACGTAAACTAACAGTCTTTGTCTGTTGATCGTGTGGGGTTTAACTTGGACCAAGCCAGCTATATTGGTTGGCCCCTGGGTTGTGTTGGGCTTGTCGTGAGGCCACACGTCGATTCAGTCGCCGCTCGTAGTGCCGATTTCTGGGTCCGATCACTGAGAGCCAGGGATGCGACATACGTACGTACGAAACAAAAAACAGCCCTATATACTTCCTTTTGTGTACCTCTTGCATACGTACGTACGTACGTACGTAACTACCATGCTCATGTCAAAGTGATGCGGACAGAGCGTATTGCCAGCACATTGGTATGGCAATGAATGGATGCATGTGATAACCAGATTACAAACATCGGCCTTGCTGCTAGCACACCTTCCTTCCACAATGAGAAATGAATGAAAATCGTCGCTATCATAAATAAGGAGCTGTTTGAAGTTTAATCTCAATCTCTTTCTTCAACCCCAAGGTCTGAAGCCCGATTCACAATACAACTTTCTGCAACGCGACACGCGATTTGCGACAGTTGCGACAAGAAACTACCAGTCGCGAGCTGTCGCAAGTTGTCGCAAGCTGTCGCAATGCACCTGTCGCAGAAGTTGAAGAAAGTTCAACTTTTGCGACATGCGACACGTGACATACACAATGGAGTACAGTTTCGACCCTGGGTGCACGTGCAGTGCACGTGCATAGTACTACTTGTGGATGAGGATGTCGCAAACATGAAGAATATTGTGAACCGTGTGTCGCTGTCGCAGCTTGTCGCATGTGTCGCAAGTCGCTTGTCGAGTCGCAGAAAGTTGTATTGTGAATCGGCCTTTACACTGCAATCGTCGTAAATATCTTGCAAGTTTTCATCAGGGATATAATCCCAAGGGCGAACTGGTGGAGATATATTTGTGACGACTGCAGTGTAAGACCGTGGTGGTTAAGAAAGAGATTGAGACATGATTAATTGGCTGCAGTGGAGAGTAAGCCTCCACATACTGAAGAAGCCGTTTGACGTTGTTCCATGATGAGAAGTGAATACAACCTTTGCTAGGCTAGACAACGAGGTGTGTGAAGTTGTGTGGAATTTTATTTTTTACCGGCCTGCCTCCATGAAGAATACATCTCTGTTGACCTGGCGACTCTACTCTCCATGCTAAGCAACACGTGCACAATGGTGGTGTGGGTACACATGAGTCAAACTCTTCACTTCCTTTCTCCTCGTCAGCAATAGGAATGACACCCGCATCGTCCAATTTTGCGTCTCACTTGGATTTCGCGATGGTGTAGTCACAACCTTACGAATGCAGTGTCTATGTAAAAGCCTGCTGATCGTGCGTAATGAAATGGCCGGTATACGGGATCCTAAGCTAAGCCAGCACGTGTAAATCTACTCACTCCGGGAGGCGGCAGTTTCTTCTTCGGCTCCTTCACAGTCAACACCTCCCAGTGCGCTTTCGGTGCGTCCTCTTTGGGTATGCTGAATCGTCGCTTGATCCTCTCCAGTGTCCCTTCAGTCAGTTTCATCATGGTGTTGATACCAACCTGCTGGTACCTGTTGATGACAAAGTTGGCATTGGCCTCTAGGTCAATGCGCAGTGTACGCTGCTCCTTCCTACTCAGAGCTTCTGCAGCTGGTGTTGTGAAGACAGACAAGAGATGAGTAGGAGAGAACAGAGAGAGAGTGAGAGAGAGAGAGAGAGAGAGAGAGAGAGAGAGAGAGGAGAGAGAGAGAGAGAGAGAGAGAGGAGAGAGAGAGAGAGAGAGAGAGAGAGAGAGAGAGAGAGAGAAAGAGGGAGAGAGGGCATGCCAGTTTTGAAATGTTACTTTAGCCTGAGAGTATTCTGTTTGGCTACAAGTTCCCACACCAAAGGATTGGTTTTCAATGGACAGAGGCTAGGTGGCAAATCTAGTTTTACCTTTCCCTTTGACCTCTCGGATCTCGGTCGCAGTCGGGACATCCTCTTCGTCGTCATCCTCTGCTGTGAAGTCGGTTGGACCGAGCAACATGTCAAGCAACTCCACGATGGCCTCCTCAGCCAAGTGATTCTTCTCCTCGATCAGTGGAGCAGCTTTCGCAGCAAGCTCCTGCAGTGGCGACACACCAGCACACCACCCAGTCAATATTCAAACGTACACGTATGTAGAGGCTGCAATGTTATTGACTGGGGATGGTCAATATTCAAGTGCATCCAACTGTGTGTAGTGTGACAGCAGCAGGAACGTGGAGATGGTATCAAAGAGGTGTCTACCCGAGTAGTCAATCATGTAACATAACACACCTGCGCGCGACCAGACGAAGACAGTTTGGGGAATGCCATCACACAGGAAAACAACACATCATTTAAAGCAACACACGTGATATCGCCTCACCTCTATTCGCTGCACAAACACGTCAGTCTTGTAGGTCTGGCGCTGCGGCATGTCGCACAGCTTCACCTTGCTGATCTCCTTGAACGGGCCAAACACTCGGTACTGTATTGTCTCGTTCACATGGTCCACAAGTCGCTCCAGCTCATCCAGCGCCGCGTAGCAGTCCCGTATGTACTCGTGCACGAGAAGGCTGATCCAGGCCTTCTTCCACGTGCCCAGATAGAGGACGCGCTGAGCCTTCTGTACAAACGGGTACATAATACCGACCATGGGCGGTGGGATCTTCTCGCGAATACGATCCAACTCTGAGAGAACGTGCTACAAACAGGCAGGAAAGCAAACAAACAAAGCGACCATGCCAGTCTCAAATATCTGCACCGCAAAATCGGGTGCATAGTCACTGAGATTTGAGTGTCGGTGTACTCTAGGTGGCTTGAAAGGTGGGTGCAATTTGTTCTGCAGATGCAGGTCCCAACATGCCGGAGGGGTCAATGAGGTGCTACAGTGCTGATCCATGAAATCCAACCCAGCAAGTCAATGGCATGTCGGGATTTTTTTGGATTGAATTATTTATTTATAGTGGCGACTATAACAGACAATTGCCTAATAACAATAGACCCACTTGAGGGAAAGATGCAAAAAGATATGGATACCGGTAATTAATATAATAGACTATTGGATAGGTGCAGAAGTACTAGCGTGAAAAAGCAAGGCATTGGGGTAACAGTTTTTTTAAAACGGGCAGAGTTGTCCACACAGCGAGCTAGAGGGGGCACTGTGCGGCCTCAGACCTGCAAACACTGAGATGATAAACTGGTGCAGGGTACGGGCTTGACTCGTGCCGTTGGATTTCACTGAGCAGTACTGAGCAGTACTATACTGTATTGGGTGCGGTGTTGAGCTGGCTGGCTGGCTGGCTGGTATTGATTAACAGCACTGTACTATGTCGCCGGCAGCAGCAGCAACACAAGTCAGCTGTTCGGGTAGCAACTGTAGACTTCGAGTCCAAGATCTCTTCTGTAAACTAGACTGCATGCTATGCGTGCAGGGGTGTCATAGGGCAGTGGGGAGTGGTATGGCGGGGGGTCGGGGTCGGGGGTGTCGCCCGGGGGGGGGGGGGGGATCGGATTTTTCGGCCAACAGGGCACGTTTTAGCAGCCAAGGGGCGCTCTGGGAGGATCACTCTGGGAGGATCACTCTGGGAGGATCACTCTGGGAGGATCACTCTGGGAGGATCACTCTGGGTGGACCATCCTCTGGACGAAAAGTGGTACAGCCATGGTCATACTGGTTGTATCATGTGTGACGCCCCCGAGTCGCGTATTCATCACTACAGCTAGCTGGCAGCACAGCACATCAGTCTCACTGACCTGCATCATATTCATCAGTCTCACCTGCATCATATTCTTGATCATGGTGTACTTGTTCCACCTGCGCGTGACCAGCTGGATATTCTCGTGCTGCGGCAGCATGGCCTCCATCACGTCAAACACCCAGGCCGTCTTGTGCACCAGCGTGATCTTCTTGTCAAAGTTCACCTTGAACTCGAGCTCTCCTGACTCCTTGTCTGGCTTGGCGGCCATCACGGTGGCGTGCGAGCAGTCTAGCATTTCACCGGAGTACTGCACAAGAGAATACAACCAACGCATTATGAACATCACGCTGTTGTCTGTACACCTGTCTGGGTAGGGATTCACTGGCCAGAAAAAGCCACTTCAATCAGCTGTGTGGTGTAGAACGGGCTAAAATTAGTGGCGGTCAATTCATCAGCCTTGCAAGCTGCTGAATGGTGTAATCCGAGCACAAGTTGCTATGTCCAACATAGCTGTTCGCTATCATCGCTTCCGCGATGGGCATGTCTGAGTCTGAGTCTGGGTTTCCATATTGCGTTTTAGTTGCCCTGTGGTATGTGCTGCTGTGCCATCTTCCACGCAACATCGTGAGCGCAAGCAAGCAATGTGAGATGGTAAAACTGAGCAACGTGAGATGGTAAAACTGAGCAATGTGAGATGGTAAAACTGAGGTACTCTCCGTGTGAACTACTGTACAGACGAATCCAAGGCAATACAAATTAAAACTTGCCAAAGCCAAAAGGAAATGCTGATATTGTCCATGTGCACTTAGGGTAAGTTTGCCCTTATCAAAGTTTTGAGTTCTCGTGAGTGGAACAATTTTTACATACAACAGCTTGCCACTCTTTGTAATTGCATGCCTCTACAGTGAAGAGCTTCAGAATAGGGACACCAGCAAACCTGTACTACAGCTTCAAACTGATTGTAAAATCCGGATAGGCAAGGGAACCGGATAACCGAACACCGGTTGTTGTCTCTCTGTTGTTGGATGCATCACTTATGCTGTAAATCTGTGACCACCTATTTTCTTCCGGATGGCGAGGGGTCCGGATAAAAGAGGACCGGATAAGCGAGTGTTTGACTGTAGCAATAGGTTTTACTTCTCAATATGTCTCTTTTGGAAGCGGAGCAACTTGCCTCAGACAGAACGCACTGGCTCGACGTTGTCGACAGATGCATGACCCTCATTTGATTTTCATATGAGCTATATGCGTGCTGTATTATTATTAATGGGTTGAACCCTGCAACAGTGTTCTGTTTCTACAGATGATCTGTAGGAGCACAAGCTCACCTCCTTCTCCCACGTCGCCTTGTACTCGTTGTTCACATTCAGTGCCGATATCGCAAACTGGTTATAATGCCGGCCCACGTCGGCCACCCAGGGCGCTTTGTCCTTCCAAATGCCGCCCTGTCGCACCCTGATGGTCTTGAAGTGCTTGTTCAGGTCTTCGATCTTGATTTTACGCCACACGGCCGCTCCGGCTGGTCTGGGCATGTGATAAAGCTTGGGTAGCCGCTTGTCCTCGCCAAGTATATACGGCGTGTGGTAGCCGACATCGCTGCCAAGGTTACGCAGGATCAATTCGTAGCGCTGGCGATAACGCAATTCAACAATCTGGAGACTGCATGAAACAAATCAAATATGAAGCAAGACGCTCAGCGCATTCGTTTTAGGTACGTTGTTCTGTAGAGGCGTGCTCCTGCCTCGCCACACACCCAAACCACACAAAGGACCAGCTCACGACTATCAAGAGAACTCTGTTAGAAAACTCTGGCTCCAAGCCGCAATTGCTTGAAACCTTTCACCGAACTCGTAAGCACTACAGCCTACTCTAGCTAACTGACTACTGCAGTGAAAACGTCTAGCTTATAACACTTGCATGCCAAGAACTCCATCAGCAGGCGCGAAAGAAGGTGAAGAGAAAGCCTGTGACTTTAAAGTGTGAACCCTAACGAAAGTCACAGCTACATGTAACACGAAACGAGGATGCATGTAAGTGACATGTGCGACCTCCTGAACATACGTGTATCAGCAAAATGCAGTCAACCTGGTATAGGACAGCATGATGAGGTAACAATGCAGTGCACTCACTCCTCAAAGCGCACTATCACTTGCAAGGCTTGGTAGACACGAGGGACTTTGATGTTGAACGTGTCATCTGTGAATTTCTGCAAGTCAATCTGCATGAAAGTAAGACCAAGAAGAACAAGTTTCAGGAACTACTAGTAGTCAACTAGAACACTACCTGTAAATAGCAATCACTGTGAGAAGAGACCACCTATGACAAGAGACCACCTGTCTTGTGAGGCCACTCAACTCACACCCAAGACCATGGTTGTGTTAGATTTGACCAGCCCGGAACAGGAGCGTTTCATAGTTAGTACGCACCTTCCCTGTTGATTGATGAAAAGAAGATCGGTCCCTGCCTATCACTTAACACACCATCGAGATGACACAATTGAAAGAAACTAGAACATCACCATTGCAACGATTGCAGCCCTAACAAGCCTGAAGACTAGTTGCCCTTACAAGCATCTTATTGAAGGTCACGATGGCGTCATCGGCAATCTTATCAAAGCCGACGTCGTGATAGTTGAGGGCCTTGTGCGGGGAGAACATCAGAGTTCGCATGGTCTTGTTATACAGATGGGTGAACTGCTCGATGCTCTCGATCCTGGACCGGTTGAGCGGAGCAAACAAGTCCTTCCAGGACAGCACCGTTTCTAGTTTCTTTAACCTGGAGAAATGTTGGGCAAAAGCCACAAGAAAAGGAATGGAAAGAGAGGAAACAGGCACGTGCACGTGCATGCACACGTCACACGTCTTACACACACACACACACGCGCGCGCGTATGCACACACACACACACACACACACACACACACACACACAGTGACACACAAAACACACACATGCACACACACATGAACATCCATACATCCATACACACACACACATAGTACAACATAAAGATTGGTTTGTGGTGCGACTTCAAAGGCATGGACAATGGCAAAGCTGAAAACAAGACCAACAACAGAATCAATGCTGAAGATTACAGGGACAAGGACAGAAACAGTAGACTGAAATTCTCAAAATCTGGCTAACTGGGCTCCCAAAAGAGAGAGGAGAGGAGTAAGAGAATAGAGGATAGTGTAATTATGCAGTCCTCTCCTCCAAGCCGTATTACTACTCCCCCAGCCGTATTACTACTCCCCCAGCCGTATTACTACTCTCACAGTGACCAGCGCTACATTATCTTACCTATTACAGAAATTCAAGAATTTCTCAAAGATCCGGTCTTCACAGAAGGCAAAATCCCGATGTTTGTAAGGATTTCGTCCACCCTCCCTCCTTTCAAATAGCATCTGTTTGGTGAAGTCGTCCTTTTCAGCGTGGTATGACCTTTGATACTCTCTGAATATGTTGTGGATGACTGCAAAGCGTGCACGCAAGTCCGGGAACTTGAGATTCCAGACGGAGATGCGATTGTCGCAAGATATGTAATTCTGGCAACTTGTGATCAGCATGGTTGTAACCTGCGCGAGTAACACACATGCAAAGACGTCTTCTTAGAGACAACGTGACCAAAGGTGCGCGCGCACACGCATGCACACGCACACACACTCCATACATGTGTTTCAAGTGGCTGCACAGAATAGCTAAGAGACCAGCACAACTGATGCACATTGACCAACCTGTGATCAAATATTAGCTTTGACTGGAGCCTGTAGCAGCAGTATGCTCATGGGCACAGTATGACAGCAGTAGTGAGAAGCGGCATGCCTGTAGCACCAGTGGTAGAGAACCTGTGATGTTTATGGTTCCCCGTACACCTATGTCCGTCGTGTACGGTACCCGCTTCCTTATAATTTCCTGTTGTGTTTGACCTTTATACGCTGGGTTGATTGACTGTCATTATCGCTCGTCTCCTTCTGGCTTGGCTTGTCTTTCTTGTCTTCTTGTCTGCACTCAACATTATTATTATCCTGGCGTTCCTACATGAATGAACTATTACAGAACCTTTCAGCTTCTACTAGTAGCTACAGGACAATGTCCTCCCCAGCAACTATACATGTGGAAACATGTGGTACTGTGAGTGACTTCGGTAGAAGCCACAGCAGCAGCAGCAGCAGCAGCAGCAGCAGCAGCAGCAGCAGCAGCAGCAGCAGCAGCAGCAGCAGCAGCAGCAGCAGCAGCAGCAGCAGCAGCAGCAGCAGCAGCAGCAGCAGCAGCAGCAGCAGCAGCAGCAGCAGCAGCAGCAGCAGCAGCAGCAGCTAGGATATGACCCCTTTTTCTTCAGATCACTGATAGCGGCATATTGATATCATCCCTGAAAGCCAGGAGAGGGACAGCTTAATTAAGGCTCCCCTCCCCCTCCCCCCCCCCATTAGAACAGGTGTATACTCCCCCCTCCCCCCCCCTCACAACCCCCCCCCCCTCACATACACCCCCCCCCCCTCACAACCACCCCCCCCCCCCTCACAACCCCCCCCCCTCACATACACATACCTTGATGAACAATGCTTCCACCATTTCCAACTGTCCGTAGCTCCTTGAGTACTGGTACATTAGTCGAATAGGCCTGACGACATTGGCCACCTTTGCGCCATGTTTTTCCTAACCAGAACACACAGTAAACAACAGGACAAGGCTAATGAACATGGGTGCAGCAGCCTCATCTGGCTGCTCAGACGTTGGCCAATCAATCATGTGTTCATACTGGAAGAGGCACACACAAGTGTAAGTTTGTTTGTCTTATTCTGAGTACTAGTCCTCCAGATCTGACCCAAAAATTGATATACATATCATATGGATTTTATTGATGTGAACATGCATGTACTTACTCCCTCTTTTTCTTTCTTTTTTCTCTCTCGCTCACTTCACTCTCATTTTCCAGTCGCATGCATGCTTGTCTATCTCTCTACTTACTGGCTTTTCCTTGAGCATCTGCACGCAGCATTGGTCAATGATAAACAAATGTTTGCAATTGTCCTTGGCTTCTGTCCACGCCACGGTGATTTCGCCATCGAGCTTCTTGAATGCCTGCAGCACAGACACGGGCAATAGCAATAGAATGGAGAGGGAGTGGTGTTGGTACGACTGAGTGGGTGCAGAGCAGGTGCAATGCACTTGCTCACTGCCAAAACTGGCCACGTGGGTCTCCCCGGGAGAGGGGAGAGAGACTCAAAAGGAATCTTGGAAAGATGACTCAGTTGGCTATTGAACCGCCCAACGACCAACGCGCCCTGAAATCCACAAACTATGGGTGGACTTGAAAATGATCCCACTTATGGGCTCACCACACCTCAGTAAGTGGGTGAGGACAAGGTGCAGAAATATCCATGTAAATATGTTCTGATAAGCGGAGATCATGGTCCACTGGAAAAGTACATGGCTGCCTTACACACATTACCCTGGTGTTAGTGGTGTCCCAAAAATGGGTTGGGTTATCAAAAGTCGTCAAGCTTACCGCACCATAGACTGTAAATTAGGACCAACGTAGAAAGCTCATGAATTTCCAAAGACCACTTGCCTGCAGAGCATACTATTGGAATGGGGAAATCCCTATGCACAGACTGATGGTGTATCCACATACTTCTAGAATGGATTTATAGAAAAGAAAAAGGACCAAGGAACTACAAGTTACGCTATAATGTTCACTAACACCACCAGTTACTAAACAATCAGCTCATGCGATAATATTGCACGCCACTGACCGACGGTATTGACGTTCTACAACTAACGTATCTAGAATGGAGGCAGAATTTTATGGGCATGTGCGTACCTTGAAAATTGGGGAGCGTGCCAGAAGCAGGACATTGCGCACTCCTCGGCAATACGGTGACTCTTTGTAGTGGACGACGGACGAGAGCTTAGAGCAGCGCTGCTTCCAGAACCAGTACTCGAAACGAACGTCAGCCGTTTCCGGCTCACAACGGGCTCTCGTCATCTCAGATAATGCCTGGAAAAGAGCACAGGATAGCAGCCGGCTAGTGATCAGTTACTAGTACTTGTGTTAGGATGGACACGTGTTAGTAGTAAGTAAGACTGCTAGAGTGGTGTAGGGACAATGAAAATGTGGTATGACCTGGAAGCTATTATTCCAGGGTAATGGTGTAATGGCGGAGGTGAGTCAACATTGACTGGAAGCTGCTAACGAAACAATGGACCACATTTGTCATGCCGGTTGCATACTGCTAACATCACAAGTTCCACAAAGGACACCTCTCAGTTAAAGATACCTTTCAACAAAAACAAAAGATACCTCTCAGATGAGGACACTTCTCAACAAAGGGTGCCTCTAAACAAAGGACACCTCTCAACAAGGGGCACCTGTCAACGAGGACACCTGTCAACAAGGACACCTGTCAAAGGGCACCTTCCAACAAGGGACGCCTGTCAACAAGGGACACCTGTCAACAAGGGGCACTTGTCAACAAAGGGCACTTGTCAACAAAGGACACCTCTCAACAAAGGACCTATTAACAAAGGACCTCTCAACAAAGGACGCATCTAAACAAAGGACGCCTCTAAACAAAGAACACCCATTGGCAAAAGACACCTCTCGCCAAAGGACACCTCTCACCAAAGGACACCTCTCGTCAAAGGACGCCTCTCAACAAAGGACGCCTCTCAACCAAGGACGCCTATCAACAAAGGACACCTCTCAACAAAGGACGCCTCTCAACAAAGGACACCTCTCAACAAAGGACACTCCTCAACAAAGGACACCTCTCAACAAAGGACACCTCTCAACAAAGGACACCTCTCAACAAAGGACACCTCTTAACAAAGGACACCTCTCAACAAAGGACGCCTCTCAACCAAGGACGCCTCTCAACAAAGGACACCTCTCAACAAAGGACACCTCTCAACCAAGGACGCCTCTCAACCAAGGACACCTCTCAACCAAGGACGCCTCTTAACCAAGGACGCCTCTCAACAAAGGACACCTCTCAACAAAGGGCACCTCTCAACAAAGGACACCCTCAACAAAGGACACCTCTCAACAAAGGACACCTCTAAGGCTCTTAACAAAGGATACCTCTCAACAAAGGATACCTCTCAACAAAGGACACCTCTCAACAAAGGACACCTCTCAACAAAGGACACCTCTCAACAAAGGACACCTCTCAACAAAGGACATCTGTCAAGTTTCTTGAGCAGCCTACACTTGTAACAATACTCAACAGCTGCTTATCAAGTTACCATGGACGATCCCTAACTCGAGCAGAGTGGGACTTACGATACTCAGGTTCTGTGACCATTCCTTGAGCAATATGTTAGCCGTGGCAAGAGCAGCGGGATTCAACGATGCTTCACGCGCCACCATGGCATTAGCGTAGGGTGAGAAGTCGAGACTGTCATCTCTCCGGAACAGCAGCGCATGGGAGAGGCAGTACCGGCAATGCTAGAGCATAACACAAACACACAGAATGCAGCAATGATGACAAACACACGGAATGCGGTGATGATCACAAACACATCGAGCGTGACAATGATGGCAAACACTAGATTCTGTACTGTACTTGCCTACTTCCATGTATTCACACTGCCACGTATATAGAATAATTATTAGAATGACATGATTGCCGATAAACACGTAAGAGTATACATTAGCACTGAAAAAAAACCCTGTACACGCACTGCACGCCCTGGACTGTTTGCACAACTCCAGACCTCTGTCTACGGCACATGCGGTGTTTTGCTTTGCATTGCCGTTGCAGGCAACATTGCAGTTTCTGCACAGCTACCGATTGGTTGTGTTGTCGACTTGCCGTCGAGTGCGCCAGTGGTCGGTGGGCTCCAATCTGTTGTTTGTTGCCGTAAGCGAACAGCACTATCTGTCTCAAAGTGGCCACTGATTGCACTGAGAATAAATAATTAGGGTAGAATCATGCCCAGCGATGCTGGCAACAACCAGCAGCAGAAAATTTACAAAGAAAAGCCGAAATACTACTCGATAGCCTGAATCGTACACGAAATCCTTGCCCTGCATTAGCAAAAAAATGCAGCTTCATTCTTCGGTGTTTATATTCAGTGCCATTTGTCCATAGGAGAAGTGTGAAAAAGTTGAACTTTTTTGCAATACAAAGCTGATTGGTCTGCTAACTCCGACCTGCACGGAGTGACTTTGGTGATTGAGGATCTCTGAGGGGTGAGAATTGCTATCCGATCAAGCTGCTCACCTTCAAGAATGTGATGAACTGCTGGAATTGATCAATGAATGTCCGTCTTGCCTTGTAGTCCCCCGTGGCCAGTGCCCACTCCCTGGTCTTCACGACGTGCGGGAAGAAGACCTTCTCCAGCATCAGCTCCATCCACATCATCATCTCGCCGCTGTCGCGTCTCTCCTTGTTCCGGTGGATGTAGGTCATGAGACCCGTCTCGGCGTCGCTGTGGCTCTCCTCCATGTACTGTATGCCATGGAAGTAGATGTCCTGCAGAGGGTTGAGCAACATGCACAAGCAACATGGGTGTGTAGCGCCGAGTGCAGTTGAAGTGGTTCCCGGCTAATCCGATTCTGCATGTCTTGCATCAGCCCATGGTATTGTGTATAGGTTTGTGTCGAAAGAAGCGAAATTAAACAAGTTAACTGATTCTAACTGATTCCTATACATATCTTGAAACATGCAGTCAGCCTACACCTCTGAGCAGAGAGCACACTGAGAAAGATCTATAGCCACTCCCAATATTATACATCCGCTTGGTACCGACCCGACTTTACCCCCCCCCCCCAAGTAGTCTCCTTTTTCCTTTCCAACCGCAGTTAGTTGGTTTCATGCAGTTCAGAGTCTATGAATAATGTATTGATAGCTACACTCTAACTACTACACAGTAAAATCTAGATCGTATTCATGTGCGCCCACTTTAAAAAATAAAAGGGCCATACATAGCCTTCACCAGATGGTACTAGGGCAACTAGCGCAACAGATCCCACAGCAAAATTATGTAGGTACTCGCAATTGAGTGGGTGGTGGGTGGGGGGGGGGGGGGCATGCTGAACCGGACACAGCGTACAACAGACACCCACATGACCTTGCAGTCGTCCATACACGGTACCTGGTCTGCGTTGAATGCTGTTACGGCTCGTGTCGTTACACGCGTCGCCACCAGTCCTCTCCCGTAGAACTGATCAGTAGACGGGTCGGCCAGCTTGATACGACACGCTTTTTTCAATAGTGGCGCCACCTTTTTCTCATCTCGAGCATCTGAACACGCACGGGAAAGGAATAGAGTAAAAACGATGTGAGAATCGAATAGTTGACGGGTTAAATGATTGTATCAACAAATGGCAAAATAATCTCAGTCAAGTGTGCCAAATAGGAAATAAAGAAAACGAACATTGGGTGTGGATGAGTGCCTTGGACAGTATTTCACCAATGCAGGTACATGCATAGTCACTATGCAAGGCCACGTATCATGAATTTCCAATACACCTCTTAGGGTCATGTGTGAAGAGCATTTGGCACCTGCATGTTTACACGGATAAAGAGAGAGAGAGAGAGAGAGAGAGAGAGGGGGGGGGGGGGGGTGGATATTGCCAAGTGGTGTCATTACCTGCTTTGCTCTCTCCTTGTGCCTTCCCGGGTGGTATGTAGAAAAAGCTCAGAGACCGTATACCATCGGCAACGAAGAACCTCTCCATTGTGTCCATCTGAAGTGCACAGGCAACATTGTAAGGCATAATACCATCAAATCTGTCTTCACTGATCGCCGTGTACACAGGATGGCGATCTGTGAACACATGTTGTATTCCAACACAGATGCAAATACAGTGAAATCTGTAACTAAAGACCACCATGACTAGCGACCATCCTGGTACTACAGTCCACTTCGCCAGGCACGGATGGTCTCACATTCATATATGGTTGTGCGGTGCAAACCTGCTACCGTAACTTCCCCATTAAACGTACACGTCTCCATTACTAGTACGTTTCCAATTGTAGTACATGCTGGGTGTGGATCGAAAATATAAAAGGACACGTCTCTAATAATAGTACATGCCGGAATGATGTGATGGGCATTAGTGGGGTACAGATACCAGGGTCCACCTTACTTCGTTTTTCTTACCCGTTCATCGTCATTGTGTTTTTGTACACTGATTCTTACCATGGTTGGGTGTATTCACAGCCTTACAGCATCATTATCACGAGTTGTTTGCCACCCAACCCAGGCAATCAATCTTCCCAGAAACAATAAAAGTACACGTCTCCAATACTAGTACAGTCTCCTATAGTAGTACAGGTCTGACCACCTTTGAAAAATGAAAGTACTGTACATTTATTGGGGAAAATACGATACTAAAGACCGCTTTCTCTGGCCCCAAGGGGTGGTCGTTACTCACAGGTTTTACTGCATACCCATATGCATGGCTTGGTGCTTGAGATAAACAAATCTAATAATGCATACAGGTGGTTTCATGTCATGAAGAGTACATAGCCGGCGGCCTGGGGTGGCAGAACTTCACATCACATGATCAACCCATACACATTGCCATTACCCGGCCGGACCCATACAGCACGGCGCATGCATGATAGCTGCAGGGCTGCGTGCAGGCGCCTGCTCTGGGTACAACTCTTCGGTGGTCACCTATTCAACAATGATGTACATGTGTGTAGTCATGATGTGAAACACTGCTGTCACTGCACTGAATAGAGAATGAGTTGAACACGCTTGAGTGCTATGTAATCAGTGTTACTGTTGACATTACATGGTCGCTGGAGAAGAGCGTACCGATAACTCGATAAAGCAAGTCTCCACATCATCCTGTGTCATTTCAAAACGCTCCACCAGGGCGTCTATGATGTAGCGGTGGCGGCCGTCCAGGCTTGCCAATTTTGCTGCCCGGGTAGCTGCTTTATCTGGCTTAGCATCGACCTCCTGGAAAGAAAAGGGTGTATGCCATGGACACACATCCACACATTCACAACACCATGCACACACATACACACATTCACAACACCATGCACACACATACACACATTCACAACACCATGCACACACATACACACATTCACAACACCATGTACACACATACACACATTCACAACACCATGCACACACATACAGACATGCGTAACACCATGACATGGTGTAGTATGCACACACATACACACCATGTACCATGTATACGCCCGTCGCAAGAGAAGCACGCAAATCTGCAAATGCACTGGATGTGCACCCACAGATTTTCTCTTATAGCAATGATAGCGGACAAGATATGAATGAGACAGATCAAGACTAGCGCCAGATAACTGTCCAATCCACACAACCTGCAAAGCCATGTGAATCGACGACCAATGCACACCTGGTCTACGCCACACAGAGTTCATCGACATGAAAAGGCCAAGACAGTTACCAAGAGTACATAACCCCCAAGAGTGTGCAACTCCCACATACTCTGCTGTCCCCACAGAATTTCAAGTTGACGTCATTATTTATGATGCAATGCTCCTTGCACCAGTGATTTACAACATGTGTACGGGTGTCAAGCGTCACACGTTTTTCTTTGCAATAATTTGTACAGCATCCGACGGGCTTTGGTCCACCACAGGTTACGGATTCGTCTGATAATCCGTGTACAGTGCGCATTGCATCATAAAAATCAAAAATGACGTCAACTTGAAATTCTGCCGGGACAGCACCCATAGTCGAGTTGCACTCTTGGGGGGTTATGTACTCTTGCGGTTACCTATGCACACCCTACACTTGCTGGGGTAACCAGTATAGACAACATGCTGCTTTGATAGAAGCAGACACTAGATGCAATGGTACCTTGAAGTGAAATTGGAGTTACTTTACCAACCAGCCTCGGCTACTGAGTACTGGGAACCCAGAGCCAGCAGACACACCAACAATCTCAGCCAAAAAGCTATGATTATAGTAACGACACACTGGATTGTGGAGGCGAAACTAGTCCAACTTCCAAATGCTTTGGCAAGAAGGTAGCCTCCGTTCCGACAGGTTGGCATATACACACACACACACACACACACACACACACACACAACACCACACACTACACTTGTCGATGTTCGCTGCCAGAAGAGCGTCACGTGAGGTTTGTGGCAAGAAGGAAAGAGATTCAGAAGGCATCTTAGAAACATCATTAACACCTACAGGGGCGTCGGAAGGTATTTAACATTGGGGGATCATTTATGGATGGAGGGTGCAGGGGGTCCTCCCCGGGAAAATTTTAGGGAAATTGGGACCCAAATTGCCCATATTCCATTGCTTCAAAAACCTTCCGACGCCCCTGACCTAGACCCATTTCTAGTGACTGTTACGTTAAGCTTGTTTTCATCTTGATTTCGCTCACCTTTCGTTCTCTGAAGACTGAAGTGAGTTCAGAAGCAAGAACCTTCCAAGTTGGATGAAGGTTGGTTACAGCACATTCAAGATGCCATGCAGCTAAGCATCAGACAGTTGAATGTTAGTGTATGAAGCTTAGTTATGCTGATTGTTGCATTTCCAGACTTCTCACTTTATTCCCGTTTTGTTGTAAGCGGATCAGAAAGGAAAGAAAGTAGAACCATCTAAACATGTCGCACTGCAACCAGTAAAGCCGGGACCACCTAATAGCAATACTGGCTTCTATAGCTCCTCCTAGTTGTGCTCGGTTGATGTTCAGGGCTCTACTTATAGTCAGCGTGACATTGCATGGCGCTGCTCAAGAGTCAAGTGCGCAGGGTGGTGTTTGTGGTACTATGTAGGTCTACATAGCTCCCCCCCCCCCCCCCCCCCCCCGCTGACGGAAATACTAATGCCATCCGACAGATGGGGACGCGTGCACCTCGCGCTCGGCAGGTTTCATTTCGGAACAGGATAACAGCGGCGTATGCGCAGGTGCGCTGTCCGTCAACACGGCGCATAAGAAACAACTCCAGCAAGTGTTCGCGCTAGCCCCAGAAAGCCAGTGAACGCAATTTTACTTTCCACATGCAATGTACCCACTCCCTGTAGCATTCACGCAACCAAGCAGGGGCGAGAGAGCAGAGGTGAACACGGTGCGTGCGTGTCGCTAAACAAAAACTACACTTTGTTACTTACCACCGAAGATTGCGAGCTTCTAAAGAAACTTTTTCTACGGGACATGCTCCGGCCTTGATTGCTCAGGTGTTGCGGATGACGCGCCTGAGTGCCGTCAGGTTTGGGGCTCGGTGGCTCCGCCATCTCCCCGCCTGATGAAGAACTGCCACACGCGGAGCAAAAACCTGGTATCTAGCAGCAGGGCTACATTGTAAATTTCGTATTTGCCTGTATCGCTAAAGCTCCTGCTGAGTCCAGGACCCGACGTTACCCGTCAGTAGTACAACAACGGCCCAGCCGCCAAGCTCAATGCACACTGTCACTGCGCCAGTTGCTTCTCCAACCTGACGAGTACTGCGGTGAAACACGCATGCGCAGTAACCATGGTGACACACACTGATTGTACCACTTCGCCTCTATCGATCTAGAGCTAGCTCTCTCATACCATGGTGTACCAGTACTGCAGTAGTAGACTCTACTGGCAGTACCAGGCCAGGCACCACGGCACCAGGAAGTCACGCGCGACTAGACTGCACTATGCACTGTACAAAGAAAAGAGAAGGCAATATGAGGAGCGGGTGAGGCAGGTTGAGCAAGCCTCCTTTGTTCCGGCGGTCATGTCAGCCAGTGGCGGAGTGGGTCCAGCATCAACAGCACTGTATAAACGAATTGCTCATCTGTTGGCTGAGAAGAGGGGTGAGCATTACTCTCATGTTATGGCATTTGTTAGATGCAGGACTTTTCCTTCAGCCTTCTGAAATCCTGTATCATGTGCATTCGCGGTTGTAGGCGTTTAAATTTTGGTTTGAAACTTGCACCCTCCTGCGGAGCCCACGCTGCTTTGGCAGTGGCGGAGGCTCGCTTGCCGACGTAACCGTCGGAGATCATCATGAACAATGGACTGACTAATTATTCACTTGTCCTGTCTTTCTAAATTACGTGTTGTTGCACATGTTCTTGGTTTAGTTTTTGGCCTTTTTCGTGCTTTGGAGTTATTAAAATAATAACATTTTTTTTTAAACAAAAAAAAACTATGCACTGTACTGCCACTGGACAGCAGACAGAGTGTGTAGTAGCATGCAGTACCGCATGCGTAGATCTACATGCACATGTCATGATGCATGTAGATCTACGCATGCGGTAGCCATGGTAGCCGCTGTACAACAAGTCAGACGAAAACGGTGTGACAACGAGTCTGTCGTCGTTACTTGACACAACCGTCCTGGAAAAACAGCAACGACGAGGGGCGTTACCATGGTTACGGGGCTGAAAAAGTCGGGGATATCCCCTATCTCTTAATTTGCTAAATCTTTACTTATAAAGAAGAGGCACCTGTGACGTCTGTGTGTGTGTGTCACGCTCAGGCCATGCTGCGGAGCAGCGCTGCCCTGAGCACGCGAAGCGTGCGAACAGTGTAGCACAGTGTAGCTAGCGGCCGCAGAAGCACTGAGCACGCGAAGCGTGCGAATCGTGTAGCTAGCGGAAGCAGCCACAGAAGCACTGAGCACGCGAAGCGTGCGAATCGTGTAGCCACCACCACGTGCTGAGCACGCGAAGCGTGCGAACAGTGTAGGTAGCAGACACGATCAGTACGAGTAGCAGTAGCAGCCGGGCGCAGAAGCACTGAGCACGCGAAGCGTGCGAATCATGAAGCCACCTAGCCTAGGCCATAGGTAGCACTAGCAGCCGCACAAGCGCTGCGGACCACGTGAACCGTTCTCTGCAAATAGAAACATCTGCAACAAAAGGATACAAAAGATCTGCACTGACTGCACTCTGCATCTGATCTGCAGTGAAGAGCGCATCGCACTTTTGTTCGTAAGTATTAGTTTATGAATTTTTTGAGCCGCTTCATCCGCCACCAGGTGATGGACAACCCTGACCAGCCTCCCGAAGGCGTAACAGACGTCCCTCCTTCTCCTTCCAACGATGAAGAACCTCCCTCACCAGGACTTCAGGGGTCTGGCCACCACCACGTGCTGAGCACGTGTGCTGTTCATGTACTTGCTTCACCCGCATGCCACATTCGGCCAGGCAACGCTGGCCGGGGGTGCTGCTAGTCCTATTATATTTTGGTCATATTTTTCAACTCAAAATGGGTGTGGCATGAGAATAGCAAAAAGTATGTGACCAATTCTTCCTTGCTAGGTCTTAGTAGATATCGAGAGTTGAATAAGATATTTTTTTCAAACACTAACATCTCAGTCTCATCTCCTTGCCCCGTATTACTACGGCCTGTGCCCTATTTTTCGAATCCTATATATAGGATTTGAGATTTTTATTGGACCTTGTTTTATCCTTAAAACTGGTAGTTTCATGACGGCATGTGCGATATTTTTTTATTATTAGGCCACCCTTTCTTTTTTCGTTGTTTAACGTCCGCGCCCGCGTACCTTTTTGCCTCCGACCGGAAAAAAAACAAGAAAGTAGTAGTACCAATAATATGCGAAGTTGTAAATACATGATTGTGTAGTTTCACAGTGTGCCGATCATGACCTTAAAGGGGAAGTTAAGGCAAAAATTAAAATTTCACCAGTTGTAGTCTTCGGGCTGCTGAGTCGAATGGTCGTGGTCCGAGGAAGCTGAGACGCTCCCTTCCTACTTGAATCCCAATCGAACTTGCGCACTTCCACCGAAACTGGGTGACTGCGCCCTACTAGATGGGGATTTGTATGCAAAATGTCACTAAAAGCGCCATTTCGTTCTTATAAAAGCATGGATGACCGCGATTGGCCCATATGTTGTAGTCTTTTGGACGCTGAGTCGACTGGTTTTGGTCCGAAAAGGCTGCGATGCAGCGTTCCTCCTTTATTCCCAATCGAACATGGTTGAACAAGCGGTCACGTGCTCCTGCGTACGCCAGTCACCTGGTCACCGTGCCTGCAGGGTACAACTTACTAGCTTGTTTGACCTTTTTTGGGTGCAGTCCTGTCACTCGAGTTGAACCTTGGTGTGAAAGTTGTCGCCTGCTGGCGTGGTGACCAGGTGATTTGGGCACCCAAGAGCACGTGACCGCTTGTTCAACCATGTTCGATTGGGAATAAAGGAGGAACCCTGCATCGCAGCCTTTTCAGACCAAAACCAGTCGACTCAGCGTCCAAAAGACTAGAACATATGGGCCAATCGCGGTCATCCGTGCTTTTATAAGAACGAAATGGCGCTTTGCATACAAATCCCCATCTAGTAGGGCGCAGTCACCCAGTTTCGGTGGAAGTGCGCGAGTTCGATTGGGATTCAAGTAGGAAGGGAGCGTCTCAGCTTCCTCGGACCACGACCATTCGACTCAGCACCCCAAAGACTACAACTGGTGAAATTTTAATTTTTGCCTTAACTTCCCCTTTAAATATTTCACCAGTTATAGTCTTCGGGGTGCTGAGTCGAATGGTCTTGGTCCGAGAAAGCTGAGACGCTCCCTTCCTACTTGAATCCCAATCGAACTCGTGCACTTCCACCGAAACTGGGTGACTGCGCCCTACTAGATGGGGATTTGTATGCAAAATGTCACTAAAAGCGCCATTTCGTTCTTATAAAAGCACGGATGACCGCGATTGGCCCATATGTTGTAGTCTTTTGGACGCTGAGTCGACTGGTTTTGGTCCGAAAAGGCTGCGATGCAGCGTTCCTCCTTTATTCCCAATCGAACATGGTTGATCAAGCGGTCACGTGCTCCTGGGTGCCCAAATCACCTGGTCACCACGCCAGCAGGCGACAACTTTCACACCAAAGTTCAACTCGAGTTCAACTCGAGTGACAGGACTGCACCCAAAAAAGGACAAACAGGCTAGTAAGTTGTACCCTGCAGGCACGGTGACCAGCTGACTGGTGTACGCAGGAGCACGTGACCACTTGTTCAACCATGTTCGATTGGGAATAAAGGAGGAACGCTGCATCGCAGCCTTTTCGGACCAAAACCAGTCGACTCAGCGTCCAAAACACTACAACATATTGGCCAATCGCGGTCATCCGTGCTTTTATAAGAAGGAAATGGCGCTTTTAGTGACATTTTGCATACAAATCCCCATCTAGTAGGGCGCAGTCACCCAGTTTCGGTGGAAGTGCACGAGTTCGATTGGGATTCAAGTAGGAAGGGAGCGTCTCAGCTTTCTCGGACCAAGACCATTCGACTCAGCACCCCGAAGACTACAACTGGTGAAATTTTAATTTTTGCCTTAACTTCCCCTTTAAACTTATAATCTTGCCTCCCGGGCATGCCTTTGTCTTGTGTTCTTTTTCTTTTTTTTGTTGGCTTTTAAATATCGTACGGTGTGTGCCCTAGTAAAAATCCAGATGTAATGAATTCATGACATGCTAACTCCATGCTATGTACCTGTTTTGTTGGATTCATCAGGCATGTGCTCCAATGTACCATCAAAGAGTGTTGTTCTATGCCTGCAAGTGCCGTTAGACCCAGAAATATTGTATATATCACATGCTTTACTGGTCAAAATGTTTGATTGGGGTTTCCAGTTTTTGGAATGGGCTTTTGTTTTTTTTCCGCCCTCCCGCGTACCTTTTCGCGAAAAAAGGACGTTAAACAATGAATTAACAAAGGGTGGCCTTATTGGGAACACAGCCCTACAAAGAGACATGTGGAGACAAACACAAAGACAAGACACAGGGGATGTAGGGACGACGTGCCGATGTACAGGGAGCAACTCGACCGACCAGGGGTCTCGGCGTTAGCGTTGCAATCTGGCATCGAAAAAAAAGGGGGGGGGTTGCATGGTCAGGTAGCAAAAATAATAATTTGGTGCAAGAAAGGGGCGCTAGTATTGCACCAAATAATATAAATACGTGTAATGACTAAACCAGAAGGGAAAATGAAGAAAGAGAACAATAATCATAACAAGCAAGTACTAGTAGAGAGGTAAACTAAATGGGTCTCAATATCATCGTCACAGGTACTGTGTGGACCACAGCCATCTCTTTCGGATTAGATCCTTACATACGTTGACCCTGTGTGGAACCAAGGCAAAACAATCCGCAAACGCAAGTTCAACACCATGAGACTGGTCAATGACAAGAAAATGCAGAAATTATACCAAACGAAAATGGAAGAAGCGGCACCTCAACTCCTCAATGTGGCAGAAGCAAGCGCAAGACTCACGGCAACATGCTCATCCATTCGCAAGGTGGCAACTGGAGTAGTCAAATACACACCGAGCAGAAGCAAGCTTCCCTACGCTACGGATGAGGTAGACAAACTCTCAGAATTGCAGAGGAAGCTGCGTATGGATCTTAATAGCACACCGAACATGAATAGAAGAAATGAGCTGCGAGTGCAGCGTAACAGAGTGCAGAAGGAAATCCGAATCCTGTCTCGACAGCTGGCGTTACAGCATCTTGAGAGCCGCATCAGAGAAGTGGAGTCGCTCAAGAACGGGCCAATGATGTTTGCAGCGATAAAACTGCTGAAACCAAAGTGCCCACGAGATTTAACCATTGTAGACAACAACGGCAAGGCTGTCCTTGGGCCAGGAGAGCAAGCGGATAGAATAGCTGAGCATTACACTGGGAAATTCTCTCCTACTGCTGCAGAGCCAGCGGTTACGCCATTCACAGGAACACCGAAACCCCTCGATAAACCGATTTCCACAGCAGAGGTAGCGAGCGCAATGAGTCGTCTAAAGAACCAACGCTCCTGCGGGCCTGATGACATACCGGCTGAGCTGGTCAAATACGGAGGCCCTGCACTTGCAGAATGCCTAAGCAGCATTTTCAACGATGTATTCACTCAGCACAGCCAAGCGTCCCTTGGAGATGGTGTACTAATCGCTCTGCATAAGCCAGGTAAACCCAAAGGCCCCATGAACAATTTGCGTCCGATAACATTGCTGACTACTGCCAGAAAAATCTTGTCCCTCATCACACTTAGCCGGATCAGAGCTGACGTAGAGCGATATATATCTCCATCGCAAGCCGGGTTCCGTCAAAACAGATCAACCGCAGACATTGTGTTTTGCAAACGGATCCTGGCATCAATTGTTGAACGCTTCAACACTACTATCTACGTGCTAGGGCTGGACCTGAGCAAGGCTTTTGACACAATAAACCGCACAAAGCTGCTTGATGTCATGGAGCAAGAGAAAATTGGAGACGCGGACGGTTTACGACTGGTTAGGTACCTGCTATCTGGCACGGCGCTGACAGTTCGCGTGAACGAAGCACAGTCCGCACCGTTTGAGACAGCTCGGGGGGTCCCCCAGGGCGATGGATTGTCACCGGTACTGTTCACGGTTTATTTGGAAGCAGCCCTACGAATGGTACGTGACCGACTGCCAGCCCGACCATCAGCAGACAACATTCTACCTGAAGAAACAGCTTACGCCGATGACGTAGACTTCATCTCCACATCAAAATCATTCCTTACCAGCGCCCTACCCATCATCGCAGGCGTCTTCTCCGAATGGGGTCTTACCGTCAATACCAGTAAGACTGAATGGATCCGTATTTACCTGGAACCCACTTTGGGAGATGCCACCTCTACAACATCTAGAAATGTCGGCACAACTCGTGGTAAAGAAGCTTGGCGACAAGTGAAGACACTCGGCTCGCTATACGGCTCCAGGGAGGACGTAACGCGCCATATTGGTTTGGCCGCAAGAGCATTTGGAGACACTCTGAAGTTATGGTTCAAACACAACCTGCTTTCTACACCCATCAAAATTCGTTTATACGACACTTTCGTTCTACCAATCTTGACCTACAACCTTGCTTGCCATGGCCTGTCCCGTGCACAAGAAAAGCGCCTAGATGTGTTTCATAGGAAACAGCTGCGGTGTACCCTTGGAATTACCTACCCAGATGTCATCTCGAATGCAGATTTATATGCTGTACCAGTGCTCTGTATCTGAAATGGCCAAGCGGGACAGGTGGAAGCTATTAGGACATATATTACGCCAGCCAAGTGACATCCCTGCAAATGTTGCTCTCACTGCTTTCTGTACATATGCTACCAGTCAGCCCTTTCGAATAGGTGCACCCCGCTCTTGCCTCACCACAAGTCTCCAGCGAGACGTCCGCCTCACACCTATCTGCATTTTTTAAGCCCAGTTGCCTTCGTGATCTCGGCACCTATGCCCGCGACAGAAAACAATGGAGTAACATCTGCTCAGCCATTTAGTCTAGCACTGCTCTTCTTAAATTTGACCTTTATTACAAGACTCTTCTTTTCTTTTTCATTTCGTTCTCCCACTCTCACACACACATGCTCACAGTTAATTCTGCCGTCGTGAGTCCCATTCGGGACGGATACGAGAATAATAATAATAATAATAATACGTTGACCTTGAAGGTTTGGAGGCGTCTTGAATGAGGCTCGTGAAGCAGGAGGTCCGCAGGCAGGTTGTTCCAGGGTGTGATGGCGAAGAAGGGGAAGGGTCGCAGGAGGTAGTCAGGGGCTGTGCGAGGGGGTGTCCACTTCAGCTGAAAGGCATGGTGCGTCTGACGTTTTTGCCGTGTGCACATGCTAGCTACGGCAGGGGGCTTGGTTGGTGGCAGCATGGCCTTTACCTGGGGAGGCCCTGGAATGTAGTGCAGCTTGAACAAGTATGACAGGGCTGCCACCATCCGACGAAGCTGAAGACTTTGGAGGATGGTTCCAGGTCCCAGGAAATGCAGGGCACGTTGCTGAACCTTGTCCAGCTGGGCCATGTTTGTTGCGGCTGCGCTCGACCAGGCCAGTGGGGCATATTCAAGTAGGGGTCGCACAAATCCCTTGTAGACCGTCACTCGACCATGGTCGTCCAGGATGGGTGCTGCCTTTCGTAGGAAACCCAGCCTTTGGGATGCGCGCAGTGCAACACTGCGAGTGTGCGCTCTGTAGGAGAGAGTAGGGTCGAGCATGACTCCCAGCAGCTTCAGGGTATCTGTCTCCTGGAGTGCTTCACCTCCAAAGGTGACTGGTGGAGTGCAGGGGGGAACGTGCTTGCGATGTAGAGTCATGCGCTGTGTCTTGGCTGGCTCAAAACAGATACGCCACTTGCGGCCCCACTCCTCAAGACTGTTGAGGGGCCCTTGGAGGGAGGCGGTGGACTGTTGGAGATCGTCAGTTGGCTGTACTAGGCTGTAGAGTGTGGTGTCGTCTGCAAAGCTGCTCAGCTGCGTTCCTGGAGTATGTCGTCATGAAACCACCCCGGCCGTGCCACACCTGCAATGTTCTTCTGCACATTCCCTGCTTCAGTCCTTTCCATGACAGCAGCTGAACAATTATGCTCAAATTTCCATTTATTGCTGAAAATGGGTATTCATCAGAAATATTATCGCCCTATGAATCTAAAATGTAAACATTCATGCCTCAAACATATTTACAACTTCCATGAAAACCATTATGCCGTTATTATTGGTCGTGATGACCAATAAAAACGGCATAAAAGGCACACCTTTTCAAATCCTATATATAGGATTTTCGGCCAGCAAATTAAAGAGATAGATGCGCTATGTATACGCTATGGTCTGCCATTGGAAAATGTTTGTGACCATTGTGTACATGGTGTACGTGGGAAGACAATGAATACCCACAGGCACTGCTCACCACTGCCAGGATCCAGGACACTATGTCCATGTAGCAGCGCACATGCATGTGCAGTGCTGCCAAACCGTCCGATTTTTGAAGGCTCTTCCGAAAACCGGTCCGAAAAGGGAAACGTCCGAAAAGCAGCCAAAATGTCGGAGATCATTACTTCCCCATGCAGAAGTCCTGTACTTTCACTTTTCAGCGCAACTGAAGGCACAAATCACTGTACATTTGCTTCTAAAAAGGCTAGCGCTTGGCTGTAGAAGTGCAAAGTAACATGCGTGGATCAGGCTGGATGGCATGTACGCTGACAGTCTGTACAGAGTCAGTGTGCGATCACACTCATCATTACAAAATTCATGACAACTCCGGGGTTACCATGCCAACGAAGCGAATTTTCATGGTGTTTTAGGCGATATTTTGAATTCTCTGTATAATTTGCCGAGGAGAAAAATTCGCAAATTGTACAGAGAATTCAAAAAGTTGAGCAGCAGCAGGAGCTCAATCAAAAATGTCGTCGTCATCAGCGACAAGTATCGTTGAGTTTTCCTTAAAACTCATTTCATCTCGAGCAAAACCAAAGCAAAATACCGATGGAGAAAGGAAATGCCAAGCAGAATATTGAAAATTTTGTGGCAAAATTGTGCGGCAAAATATCGATGTAGGCCGAGCAAATTTGGGCCATGACTACTTGGCGGTGAAGGGTGTCCGATTTTGGGCGAAAATGATTTGGCAGCACTGCATGTGGCAGCCGCTCGCTGTACAAGTCAGACCAAGAGTACATAACCCTGTACTCTTGCAGTCTTGGTCAGACGAAAAGGGGTTGTCTTAAAGACACGCTATGGATGCCATCAAGAGTCCATAACCCCACTACATGTAGTTTTATGGACTCTTGATGGCATGGACGTGCCTGCAAAAGTGTATGTGACCATTGTGCATGTGGGAAGGCCATGACTACCCACCACGCCCGCTGACCCCCCATACCTGGCAAGATACACGACTCAGTCTCTTGCCAAGGTACAGCACAATCATGCAGCCAACTTTCTTATCATTCTTGTGCATGCCACATGGGGGATCTAATGTTCATCCTCAAGACTAGACTGAGCTGCGGGTATGATACATACTGTCATGTGACCAGCAGCAGTGGCTGAGATCATTGTGTACAGACATTAAAATAATATTATTATTTTAGGTGAATGCGCAAACTGCATGCATGGCACAGCCGCACCTGGAGACTTGAATGGGCAGGTGAATGGGTAAACTGCACGCATGGCATAACCACGTCTGGGGAGTAGGAGTAGCGTGGATAGCTGTGCTGCACACACACACACACATAGCACAGCTGTGGTGACGGTCAGAGTATCACCAGCGCCGACAGCCTCATTGATGCAATCTGCTGAGCACGATGGAAACGGCCCAGCGCAGTGCTCATGCACAATGAGCAGCATTATGCAGCGGCAACACTGACAGCAGTACCTGGGCCAAGACATTTTGTTCAGCAGCAAGAGAGTGGGACAAACTGTCGCCAGCCGCGTACACTCATAAATTAACAATAGCAGCAATGTTATAAGTTCATCAACACGTCCTCCAATGCCTAGCTAGCCTCCAGGTGAAACTGTCAAGTAGAGATACACATCACTCTGCTGATGAGTGACGGTGGCGAACTTGGACGTATCCCAACTTCAAGAACACACGAATCTACGTCACATACACGCACAAGCACACACAAGCACACACACACTCTCTCTCTCCATCTGTGTGTGTGTGTGTGTGTGTGTGTGTGTGTGTGTGTGTGTGTGTGTGTGTGTGTGTGTGTGTGTGTTAGGTATCAATACAACTACTCTGCGAGGTCACACTTCAATACACCTACTTTGCGAGGTCCCACTTCCTCGTGCCGAGGTGAGGTTATCAACACCTCTACTAGATCTGCTGGACCTGTTGGTCGGTGGAATCGCGAGATGCGCCCACAACAATCACCGCGTCAGTGATTTTATCTCCTTTCTCGTCACTATCTGCCGCCATGTATGCGTTGTCATCGTCAGGGGATGGTTCGGAGTAGGCTGGAGTGGTGTCAACGGCTGCACTACCGTCACAAGGAGGCTCCCCCGGCAGAGTGCCGCGTGGAGTGGTGCGGCAGTCTCCATCCGTGCTGCAAGGCGGGGCCGGCGGCGCGTGCTGGCTCTGGGGCGAATCCGCACAGTCGTTGCTCTGCACTCTCTCCAGCGGACACCTTCGATCGATGATGCTGCGCAAGGAAGGATGTAGCAAAGTGTCGTCAATCGACACCGTGGAGATATCCGAGCTCACCGACGGCGTTTTGCATCTCATAGCATAGCTGGTATCGTCCGATCTTGCATCGGCGTTCACCAGCTGCTTACGGTGTTCACCACTGGGCTGACGGAGGGTGCCTGTGCCGGATGAGTAGTTTGTGGTGCGCTTGGACTTGCTGTCTCTGGCTGCTTGCGACGTGGCCAGCAGCACATGGAACGCAAAGATGCCGACGCCCTGCATGGTGTTCAGCAGTGCGAACATATACTGCAGGGCCACGGTGCTGGGAGCGATCATCACCAGGGCGCCGAAGAGCCACGTCAGGCCCAGCAGGAACGTCATGGAGCAGACCAGCTTGGTCAGGATCCACACGCGCCGCCTCTCACCGCCCGTGCACTTGTAGTGCTTGCGAACTTTCTCGGCCGCCACGGACACGATGAATCCGTTCACCGCAAACATGACGACCAGGGGAGCGATGAACGTCGCGTAGAATGACGTGCGGTCCACGAGAAAGCATAGCTGACCGTCGTCGCTGCCGTAGCTTTGAGTTCCAAATATGGCTAGGTTCAAGCCGACGAGCGCGGCACATGCAAGGCTCACCGTGACGATGGCACGCGCCAGAAACTGCTCGCCCACTTGGACGAGCACCGTCACAAGACGGCGGTAGAGATGATACGCCAGTACCAGCATGAATCCAAACGACATCAGCAGCCAGAAATGCAAGCACAGGGCAATGCTGAGGCACGAGGCTCGACTCCGTTCACCCGAGCCCGTTGCATTCACCATGTACAAGATCAGCACGGCCGAGAGAGAAACAGACAGGCACAACGTTAGCTGGTGCTGGACAGTGCCTCGCTGTCGTTTTATCGACAGAATTAGCACGATGGTCAGCACGAGACAGCCGATGGACAGACTGCAGCCAATGAGGGAGATCAAGAACAGGGCCTGTTCATTGCCGGCTGATAAATCAATTGATCTGCTACCGGGAGGTGTGACAAGTACTGCGAAGTGCGTCAAGTGATTGCATTCACAGTGAGCTAAAGTCTCTCCACCATCACCTTGCGTGATGTTCACAAGTCGGCAGCCATCTTGTCTCCATGACGATGACGTCTTGTTCCAGTAGCTGCAGGTGAGATTCCTGTCCTCCAGATCATCACTTGGCAGATGAACAGGCATTGTCATTTGTACTTGACTCAGACCCAGCTGCAAGCTGTCATCTCTGCTGCCCACACTGGCTGCTACAATGGACGTCGCAACTTGATCATTGCTGCCAACGGCATTGCTGCTGTTCAAATGCTCATCAGCCGGAAAGGACAGAAGTGAGATCTGCGGCACGCGGCATTTAAACGTTGTCGGCGGTGACGTTTCAGCATCCTTTGCCTGCTGCACGGCTGCAGATGGGAACGTAAACCTCAAGCTATTCCCAGGTGTATTCGCCGTGGCTGCGGTGTTGCCGTTGGTTGCATTCGCTGCTCTCACTGCCGTGATGTCCAGCGATCGTTTGGCACTCTCAGTAGCGTTCCTGGGAAGATCCTCCACGGTGAATGCATAGCTTTCGCCCACTTTCGGGCACACGGCGGTCATGACAACGGACTTTGATTGCAGCATGAACGTCTGGTCTTCTCGCGACAGCTGCAGCGCTTTGGCGATGTTGTCTATGGACGTTCGCAGGCCTTGCTTCTTGTTAAGCTTCTCGAGTTTAGCAGGAGGAGAATCGGCAGCGCTGGGTGCCAGGATCGGCGATGCTTGCAAGATGTCGAATACGTTCAGGAAGGAAGAAAACGAATCCAGGAGGAATTTCTCGCTTGCAGCGCTGCCTGCAAGCAGACTGACCATAGAGTTGGAAAGCATAGACACCGTGTCCAGTAGCAGATCTGCTTCCACACTTGTCACCGTGGTGCCATTCTCACCGTTGAAGATGCTCTTGGCCACGACGATCTGCACACACACGGCAATCAATGTGTGCTTTCCCGCCAGTCCCCGGAAGTGGCGTTGTATTTGCCGGGTTCTGGCGCTGGCGTACGCGCAGTTGTCCACTTGAGGACTCTCCCATCGTGCAGTGTTTCCGACCCTGGAACACTTCCGCTCAGCAAGGACAACAGGTTCACCAGCCACCAACACTGGGCATACAATTGTTCTTTTGACACCAGCTACTGTCACAGGCCACACAAACTTTCCTTGAAGACCATCAATGGTTGCTTCAGAACACATCTGAACTTGAGGAGCTGTAGTTGTGCCAGGACTGTTAGTAGACGGAGGCTGACAGGATGCAGCAGGACCTGACCATGTACCATCATCCTGACATACTCGCTGATGACTGCCACTCACCCACAACCAGTTGTCAGGGCAACGTGTCGTGGTCACATTTAAATAGCCATTACCACCAGATTGTTCCAGCAGTAAGTTGCTAGGCAACGTCAACAGTGGACAGATTGGGCCTACCCAGAAAACACACAAAACAAGCACACGTGATGTCCTACATGATGCAACATTTATGATGTCATACATGACGTCATCCCATAAGTGTGACGCCCACCAATAAAAGGACTAAGAACTAAGAAAAGTAGGTTGTAAAAATGTAAGGCACCGCACAAGATTGTGCTTCATCATACTTACTTATTACTTAATAGTCATATGACAAATTGGGAACTTAACAGGACTCTGTCTAACCACGTTCACGCCTTGAACACTCTACAATGTTCCTTGTATGCAATAAGCTGCAGCGCTAGGTGAACAGGCAGTAAGGTAATGGAGGCATGCACAGTTCCTGCACTGCTACCCCACTACAGCTACACACTGGTGAACAAACGGTTACCAGGAATGACTGGCATTATACTGACATACTAGAGTGACACGAGTCATGGTGTGAGTGAGAGAGAGAGAGAGAAAGAGAGAGAGAGAGAGAGAGAGAGAGAGAGAGAGAGCACAGACACACACACACACACACAGTACGTATGCTTGTGTGAGAGAGACTGGCAAGTTTGGTTTTCGACCAGAACTACTTACGCGTATTGCAGTATCTTCCAGTGTAACCCAGTACACATTGGCAGCCAGTTCCCCCGTCGCACTGTGCACCATTCTGACACCGGCATTTATTTGTACAACCTGCTCCCCAAGCACCTGGTGAACATTCTGTCAACAGAACAGCAGAGCAGACATGCATTCATACAACCAATATGGCAAAGGTCATTCTCTTTTACTCTCCTGTTTGGTGAACTTTGGTAGATTTGCCCTTTTTGTCCACCGAAAATGATAGTAAAAGGCGCATGGAGACAATAATCTTAATAATGCAATGAATATAACTAAATGCGCACTCATATCACAACCATGGGGACGAATAATGTATTCCAGAACGTTTTCTTGTCACAATTATCAATGGAATTCGCGACTAAAGAGAATGATGAAACTACAATAGGATTTATACACTTGGAGTGAAACAGCGAGGATACAAGCATAGTAAGAAAAATAGCACTAACCTAGTAACAATTTGCACAGGTAATGAAAACTATAGGTGAGGTGAGAAATGATAGGAAATTCAGCAAGTGCAGTGTGACAATGGACATGCATGTGCACGTGTGTGTGAGTGCGAATTTACTGGAATAGCGTATTAAGTGCGGTGACATTTTCTTTTTGTTTACAAAGATTTGGATCACGAATGCGAATGTAGACTGCTTCTAGAATTTTCAACTGCTTGAAACTACTTGCAGAACGAACAACACTGAACCAAGAATCATCATAACTTTCACGACACACGGGGTTAGACAACAAATGCAATTTAATTGCCGATGTATTCTTCTTCTTCTCACCGCCTCCGCCTTCACTGGGTCTCTGACCGCCACCGTCCTTCACACCATTTGCACCATCATCGTCATCATCGTCCTCTTCATCACCAAGTGTATAAATCCTATTGTAGTTTCATCATTCTCTTTAGTCACGAATTCCATTGATAATTGTGACAAGAAAACGTTCTGGAATACATTATTCGTCCCCATGGTTGTGATATGAGTGCGCATTGAGTTATAATTATTCATTCCATTATTAAGAAAATGATAGTGTCTGCCTTTTTTTTGCTGCATCCCTCGCTGGTTCCATTTGTCGCGAAACATGGACATACCCTTTACATAAACCACTCGAAGCAGACCATATTTTCCTTAGTGCCCAATTTTCTTGTGAATCAAGACTGAAGCATATTTAGGGACCATCGCAAAAGTTCGCAGAAGCCCCCGAAACGAAGACCGTGAGTTTCGGGCCTGACCCCCCTCCCTCCCCCCTCAAACGACACGACAGTCACAACATGGGCTTCATTTTTTCACTTGGATGCTCACACATAATAATTATTATAATATACTACACAAGCATTGTTGTATCAGTGTGTAACAATGTACAGCACTTTATAAATGCAGCGATGATATCACCTTGCAGTGGGTGATCTAAGAACGAGAACAGCTAGAGCTATGCAGTTGTATCCTTTGAGCATTACAATGAACGTTGATTGGTGTATAATTGCTTTCACATTCAAGCGATCTACGCCGGCTGTGATGGCATGCTAATCCTACAGCTCCTATAATTATGTCGTCAATACTTTTTTGAATTGAAGCCCGGTTTGCGATTATCGCACCGACTCCCTCCCCCCCCCCCCCCCCCCCAAACGTATGCTCTTCGTTTCAGGGGCTTCTGCGAACTTTTGCGATGGTCCCTTACAAGGGGAGAGTGATAATATAGGTGAGTCGGAGTGTATGCCTGTAGCAGTAGTGTGCCGTGAAAGTGTCTTGCGTACAGCGTCAGCAGAAATATACAAGCGATAAATATACAAACGCATCGAAATAAGCTCCCAAGGAGTAGCGAAGAATCAAAGAGAAGCAAGAAGAGCACCAAGTTGTGGAACTAAAACAGCTCCACGTGCATGTAGCTGAAAAGGTGACACATAAAGATACGCACGGTGCAACGAGTCCAACTGTGAGCATGAACATGGATAGTGAAGGCCATCAAAGATGCCGATAGTCGTACACACAGTCCGTGTTGGATGTCGGTGCGTGTGCAAGCCAAAGTGCATTGGTTCAAACTGAATCAAAGGGTGCCCGGAACGGAAACATTAGAAATGCAACGAAGTGCAAGGTGAGAAAAGGGGTGCCCAGAATTGAACCTTAGAAATGCAACGAAGTGCAAAGTGAAAAAGAGGTGTCACAAAGGGATGCGAGTGATTGAACGTACAAATCATGCACTGCACAAGGATACATGTATATGTAGCTGTGAATTCTTGGTTATATACATGCATTGTGCTCGTGACTACGAATAAATCCGATCGCATTCGCGACACCATTTAACACGAACATGAACATGTATATACAGTGGAGATTGGATATAACGACACTGCTTCGGGAGAAAGCAAAATGTCGCTATATCGGTGTCGCTAAACCCGACCTTCACATTTTAGTATGCAATATTACAGAAATGTATTGCAGATATGCATGTGCATAATATAATGCATACCGTAATGTCGCGTATAAAAGCAGGTGCTTACGGTCGTATAAGCCGAGGTTCAAACCATGCTTCCATTCAAAACATGCTTCTATGTCAACATCATCAGTCTACACTGTGCAATGTATACTGCCACGTACGTACTTGCACATGTACTTTGCAGAGAGCGGCTTCTATTCAAATTGTGCTTCTGTGTCACGGCGCGCTTCGAAAAATCGGCTTCTATCCGAGTCATGCTTTTATACGCGACACTACGGTATGCCATATTATGATAATGGATTTCAGATGTGTATGTGCATGTGTTTTGCATGCATTGTTCAAAGTTAAGTCATCGCATACCACTGCACTGCGGCTACAGTGTGAAATGTAAAGCACACATTGAGTGACCCAGAGGTCCGGGCACGTGGCACAGCCATATTCCAGACATACCAGTCTGCCTGATACAAGACTCAAGAGGAAAGTCGTTATATTCTACACTTTTTTTCAGGTCTTCGGGCACCCAAAAAGTGTCAGTAAATTCGATATGTCGCTATTTTCGAGGTCGTTATACCCGATCTATAATGTACAGGAAGGACTTGCTAAACGACTTGGGCAACAGACTCTTGTCGCTAAACTCGATTTGTCGTTATATCCAATCTCCACTGTACAACGAGAGAGAGGGAGAGAGGGGGGCGGGGTAGAAAGAGCAAGATAATGTGTGTGTGTGCGTGCCATACACCGCGATGGTTTGTCCTCCCATGACGTCCAGGCCCGCATTGGCAAGGCATCCAAAGCCTTTGGTAGTTTGAAGCAAGCCGTGTTCGAGAACACTGAGTCTGCAGTGTCGTCGTCGCGTGTATGTTGCCGTAGTGCTCTCTACCCTCCTGTACGGCGCGGAGACCTGGACAACGAAGACTCCGGACCTATGGCACCTCAACCTCTTCCACCATCAATGTGTCAGATCTATCGTTGGAGTGTCGCGACGGCAGCAACAATGGGAGACCCACGCAACGTCCTCAGCAATTGCTAAGACCCTTGGAGTGCCTGAGGACATTGGTCACATCGTACGGGAACGGCGTTTGCGCTGGCTTGGACACGTGGCACGGATGGAAGATCACCGGTTGCCCAAGTGTGTTCTCTTCGGTGAACTGCCTGCCCCGCGCCCCTCGCATGGTCCACGCAAGAGGTGGAGGGACGTCGTTATGGATGACTTTGCGTCGGTTGAGCCACCGATACCAACATGTGGATGGTACGATGCAGCCCAGAACCGTCCGGAGTGGCGTGCCATTGCCCGTCGACCACCCAAGGCACCCTCTGCTGCTGGCTACGGTTGCGCCTGCGGCCGCATGTTCCGTCGAAGCGGCGACCTGAAACGCCATCAGTCATTCTGTCGTGGACTGGAGAAATAACAATGCGCCATCATTGCTACGCAATGGGCAAGGTCAAGGTCAAGGTCAAGGTGTGTGTGTGTGTGTGTGTGTGTGTGTGTGTGTGTGTGTGTGTGTGTGTGCAACCGTCATCTTAGTGCGTCTGGGTACAAGCGGCATAAGTGCAGTGCGGCCCGTCAACTTCCTGTCAGCCAACAGCCTGGTGCAAAGTCGTGTCAACGTTGTGGTAGATGGTTCAAGAGTGCTGGTGGGCTGAAGGCACATAAGTGCCCTCTCACAGGTTCCTCCCAACAGCCTTCGGACTCTGTCGATCCTGCACCTCGCCTAGTGCTTCAACACCAACATTGTTGCCCATTCCACTGCCCGTCATGTAACCGGTGCTTTCGATCTGCTGCTGGATTTAAACGGCACAATTGCGCGCGTGGCAAGCGAGGGAGCGTCTTGAGTTCAAATTCTGCTGTGCGTGCGGCGAGAGATATCGCAGACAGCAGGATCTGCAGCGGCATGAGGCCAGATGTTCTGCCGCGACGCCGTGATGCTACCCCTTTGTTCCCTCCTCATGAGGGCAGCTTAGCCGTTTAACGGCAGCTGTTTGTCAAGGTCAAGGTGTATGTGTGTGTGTGAGTGAATGTGTGTGTGTGTGTGTGTGTGTGTGTGTGTGTGTGTGTGTGTGTGCATACGCATATGTGTGTGTGGGGGGGGGGGGGGAGACGGTATACAAACTTACTCTTCTCACACGCAGCTCCAAAGGTACCTGGTCGACACTGGCAGACCGAGGTACCGGGAGTACACTCCGCACCATTCTTGCACGAGCAGTGTACGAAACAGCCTGGTCCGGAGTAGCCAAATGCACATGCTGTCATACAGGAACACAGAAAAGAGGAGAGTATTGAAAAAAGATGAGAACACGATAGAATGCACTCAAGTTCTGTACGGCGCCACTGCTTGGCATTCCCTGCTTAGTAAATCTGCTGTACAGACACTAGAAATACATCATAAACGTGTGTTGAAAATTATTTTTCGTAAACCCACTCTTTTCCCCTCTACTGATCTATATAGTTTGGCCTCCACCAGCCCCATCTCTATCCTGTCGCAGAGACAGTCATGCGTTCTGGTCCATCGTATTAAACTGAACATTGTCCCTGAACATATCACCAAGTATAATTGGTTTACTTTCGCACGGGACACTCGCAATGGCATAGTACTTCCCAGAGCTTTGTCAACTATGTTTACCAAATCTCCTATCTTCTCTGCATACTCGTATTGGCTCAAGCTGCCCATGGAAATGAAGACAATATCCAATATTAGACAGTTCATAGACCATGTTAAATGTCATGCCACGTTGTAGGCTCGCTCGCCTCTTTTGCTAGCTTATCTCGCCGCTCTCCACCATGGTCAACATAGTGATACATTTCACCCCGCTGATGCATTATTTTCTTCCGATTATCATCTTCTTTCCTTCATTCTTTTTTTTTTTCTTCTTCTTCTCTTGCCATGGCTGGCTAACGCCCCCTCCTTTGCATTGGCTTCTGCCATTGGACGGTGAAATAATAATAATAATAATAATAATAAGTAGGGTGCTCCAATTCTCAAAGAGTGCTCAATACCTGTATTTAACTGCTAAGCATATGTATACGGCACTGAGAACTTTCCACACAGTAGAGAGAGGTGTTTGTGTGTGTGTTTGTGTGTGTGGGGGGGGGGGGGGCTGTATTTCCATTGTGCATGTGGTTCCTCAGTGATAGCAAACAATCAAGAACGCAATGAGTGTAAATGAAGTCAATGGACCGTATGCGTGTTGTCTCCACTGGAGACCGGGGGTTTTGTGTTCGTTCCCAGCAACATAATAGTAACCACAATTACAGTGCCACGGCCTGCTGGTTTACTATCTCTGGTACACTCTGAACGGCACATTTCTGCTCCTCTTCTTTGGGTAGACGGGGAGAGATGTTGATGCTTGCATTGCTTGCGCGCCCACCGGCAATGCTTCGCAAAGCCCTCAGTCGCGTCAACGACTGGGCGCTATGTCGTGTTAAAAAAAACTCAACATTCTTGTTGCTTAGTTAGACTGTGTGTTTTTCCCCGCATCCATAGGAATACCGCCACCCTCAAGGATCAATGCATCACACGCAAAGTGACACGAAAACTACGCGACAGCTAGCCGTAATAAGTTGATACTAGACACCCTTAGCAAACAACGGTAACGGTATTTTCTACGGTACTCGTACCTGGATCCCAAATATAGCGTTGAAGCTGCAGCGTAAAACCGTTATGGGTGCTGTTTTATCGTTGCGACCAACGATAATGTTTTTTTGCCAAGTATTGCGTAGTGCGTACACACTTCGCCATATATCGCGTAAATGGCTGTTCCGCGCGAAACTTGGCATGTGGCGCAGACCAGGAATCGTGACAAATATGTATCGAATCAAAAATCCATGCAGCTCAGTGGACTACCATTGAAATTGCCGACGAGGCCAGCTTCTAGTTTCATTTCTTCCGTGCCTCCTGTCACGTTCCTTGTCGTTCTTGAGCCTTGAGCTTACTCAGCCATGTCGTCGACAGCCCAGTCATCAGCATCTGCGTCGCGGAGCAGGTTTGTTGCCGAAGACGAGCTAAAGCTACTCCGCGAGGCCCTGGCACAGGACTCACCTTTCACAAGGGGGTGCAAGGGGTGGGACTCTGTGGCGGCGAACTTGAAGGCCAGCACGGGCAAGTGTTTCACGGCAAGGCTGTGCATAGAAAAACACTTGCCCTTGTCAAGGATTTCAGGGTTCGCGACAATCGCCTGAAAGTGAAGTAAGCACCTGAAGTCTTGACCGTTTTCTGTCAACAGTATGTACCTGAAGTGTTATGTTTCTGTATTACTGTGTTGCATTTGGAACCCTTCGTTCTAATAAGCTGCGTGACCTTTGTTTGTTCATTGTTTTTTATACTTCAGGATTGGCACACTGGTTGTAGGTAGAAGCCTGATTGTTGCTCTGTGTTTTACATGTACATGTTTATCACAGGACCGGTATTGAGGAGGCGTACGATGAGCGAGCTCACATCCTGCAAGAGCTTCTTGAGCTGCAGGATGTGGAGCTCGCCAGAAAGGAGCAGAGTGCGGAGGAGAAGAAGAAAGATGAAGAGGATGTGTTGCTTGCTAAAGCCCAGCGTGACGCTGCTATGCAGACCCTGGGCCAAACGCAAGCAGCTGCAGCGCAAGCCAAAAAGAGTAAGTTGTATAATCATTTGTTCATGTAAATACAGCACAGTCACTGCATCTCAGTTCAATTCCCAAGACGATTTCATAGCTAGCTTTATACTAATCAAATAAGCTCAAACTGAATGAAATAAGTACCAGTACATCAATATTTTAATACCAGTCTCCATCTATTTACTAGGACGGTGAGCATTTGACTGAAGATGATACTGATGCCAGCTTCACCTCGGCCAAAGTACTCACGCAGCTCCAAATGACGCTGGGGATGGGCCATGCGATGAAGCAGAATACAAGCCCTCGAGTCCACTCCATTTGGTCCTATTCGGAGCTGAAAACTCCCTGTCGATGCGAATGCCAAGAGCTTCGCATAAAACGGGCAAATCGGCTTTCATGAAACGGAAAGATTCATGGAAGTTTAATTCCGGGAGGCTATCGAATGAGGACATTCTCATCCGACGAGCAGCCGCAGCATCGGCCAAATCCTGCTCTATTTCCATATACTTGAGAAGCAGAACGTCCTCGATGTCTTCATCGTCAGGATCTAACAAAAACAGCTCCTCCAGATCACGCAAGTCGTAATCCATCTGCAGACAGCTTGAAAGACGTGTTGAAAAACACGGGACTTCCAACAAGCTAGGGAGAGGGAAGACGTGTTGAAAAACACGGGACTTCCAACAAGCTGACAAGAATGGACGTAAACAAAACCTGTTGCTGTCTTTGCACTATTTGCTATGTTCTTGAAAACAAGAAAACATGTTTTCACATATTCGCGCTCCACTTCCAGCATGCAGGGCGTTTTACCGTATTGCACTACACCCTACTCGCGTCCCTAGTACTGTACTACACCCATGACAACAGTGTACTAAAATACCGTGCATCTTGCTAAAGGTCTAAATCAAATCACGGTACTTTTTCCTTTACGGTAATACCGTTACAAAATAACGTTGTTTGCTAAGGGTGTCTACTAGTAACCCAGACTTCCCCGCACGCACACTAGCACACGCATGCGTGTACCTACATACACCCATCTCCACACACATCTCTATCCGGCTGTCCACTTTCATTTCTCTCGGCGTATTTTTCTTCTCCTTTTTTCACGTGGACAATCAACCATCACATGTACCAGAGCTCAATAGAGACAGAAGGGGAAAGGTTAGCACTACATTGCTGCCCTGTACGCGAACTGTTCTATTATTATTATTACGGTAAAACACTTAAGTCTGTGGACAGCAACTGTTTCGCTCTGTTAGAGCTCATCAGCACAGCTCAGAGGACCGAAGCGCAGCTCTTCGCAATGAAATACGTTTCCGTAAAGCAAAGCATTTTTTATTACTGTAAAACATGTAATTTTCGGCGTAACTTTAATTTCGGTGATTTCGGTAGAGAAACCAGGCACCTAAATTAAAATTACACCTAAAAGGCACTAGGGTATGCACTGTATGTGGAGGGAACGCTGGTCACCTAATTCTAGATTACACCTGAAACCTGGCAGGTCCCTGGCACCGAAATTTTAATGCACCTAAAATTACATGTTTTACAGTATTAAATTTATCAGTAGTAGCAGTAACCCAAAACAATCCAGCTTGTGGCTGACTTGGCCACTTGAAACCTGACCGGAAACAAGGAGCTGAAAAACTTCATTCCAACTTCAACTCCAACACCTACGCTTACACACAACTATAAACAAAAGTACTGGAAAGGCGATGAATTTTCGGGACAAGCAAATTTTGCGGTTTCAAGAACTGCACTGGTTCACGATAAGAAACATTCGTGATTTGATCTCTTTATATATCTTGTACTATCTACAATCACTGCACAGAGCAGCTCGCGGTGAATTATATTCACGAATGTGTGATGGTTGCGAAAATAGCGAAATTAAATCTTTGCAGTAAAAACTTGCACAGGTGAAAACTACTGCTCACCTTCACATTTCGCCCCGGCAAAGTTGTTCAAGCAGGAACAGTAACCCGAACGAGGATCGCAAACTCCATTATTGAGACATGCGCACGGATTTGCTACACAAATAACACAAGACAAGGCACAGACACAGACACACACACAGAATCACACACACACACACACACACACACACACACACACATATGCAAGCACACACACAAGCACACACAAGCACACACATACACGCAAGCACACACACACACACATATACACGAATAATCGTCGAATATACAACCATATAACGACCCGCGCTGCTAAAAGAGAATGAGAAACAATTGTACATGTATTACTGAATGAAAGCAGGAATATCTGCTCCCTTATGCCAACATGCACTTCGTCCAAACTCTCTGGAGACACTTCTGCAGCCCAAAGGGTGCCGATAACCGGCACTCTACTGTACTGAACTGTAGGCCGTCCCCACGTGATAGTGACCAGGTGACACTAGTCACCTGGTCACCGTGCCCACAGGGTACAACTTACAGCCTGTTTGGGTGCATTCCTGTCACTCGAGTTGAACTCGAGTTGAACCTTGGTGTGAAAATTGTCGCCTGCTGGCGCGGTGACCAGGTGACTGGTGAATGCAGGAGCACGTAACCGCTTGTTCAACCATGTTCGATTGGGAATAAGGCCCGAACGCTGCATCACAGCCTTTTCGGACCAAAACCAGTCGACTCAGCGTCCAAAAGACTACAACATACGGGCCAATCGCGATCATCCGTGCTTTTATAAGAGCGAAATGACGCTTTCGGTGACATTTTGCATACAAATCCCCATCTAGTAGGGCGCAGTCACCCAGTTTCGGTGGAAGTGCGCGAGTTCGATTGGGAATAAAGGAGGAACGGAGTGTCTCAGCTTCCTCGGACCAAGACCATTCGCCTCAGCACCCCGAAGACTACAACTGGTGAAAATTTGATCTTAGGCTTAACTTCTCCTTTTTAAAAACGTTAGACTTTGTGACTCGTTAGACTTTCCGGTTTTACAGTATCCTGATTCACCGTCGTCTAGTACAAATAAATAGCAGGGACGGTGGAAGCCGGTCCGGTTGGTCAGACCATGCCCGGATCAACTCTTTGGCCACCGGAACGGGTGTTAACTGCTGGAGGCCATGTGCAGCCATCATATCATACGCAAAAAAGATAATATGCATGGCTGTGGCGTGGCCGGCCCAGGGAGTCGTACTCAAACTAGGGAGGTGACAAGGCACAGAAATCCGTGTCACAGGGGTTGACTCGCACCCGTAACCCCTCGTTGTTATTGAAGTAGATATGATACTTGGCACGTATGGAGGTAGAAGGATAGGATTCGCGTTTGACCTTTCAGACTTACGGACTGGACTGAACTATTCCAAAAATAATAAAAAATAACCTAGTTTGAGTACAACTCCCTGGGCCGGACCAATCAAATAGTTCTTCTGCCGGTCCTGAATTATAACAGGATCCTACAAATTTCACACGGAACATATCATACCACTCCGTATCAAACTGTGCCGCTCCCGACACGGCAGCAGATCAGTTAACGTCATCTTCTGCTGGCCTCCAACTTATTATTATTATTTAAATTTTGAATAGGGCAATCCCCACAGGCCGAAGGCTTTTTACAGGGTACCCTATGTGATCACGTACAGATTTGCGGAATAGTGAACACAAGGAGCAAGAGCGAATGTCAGCTGGGAGAGAACTCCAGCGGTCAGAAGCCAGAAAGCTCAAAGCAAATAAGCCATAACGATTGCGTGCTTATGATTTGTATTCACTGTTACAACAAATTAGCCCTTGCTTTCCTTTGTGCACATACCCGTATTGTGTACTATTGGGTGTATGTTGAATTCGTGATACCCGCACTTGCATGAAATGTTCCTATTACCAAGAGTAGATAAACAAGAGTGTGCAACTCCGGATCTCTCCTGCACAATCTGCAGATACCCCCGCCCATGGCGGAATTTTTTGTTGACGTCACTTTTTTCAGAAGAACGCGGATTTTGCCGCAGAGCAGTGTGAGAGCACGTGCTGGGCACCGACCTTCTAGTGTAAAGCCGGCCAAGAGCACGAGGGAAAACTTTCCGAAAGACTCGCAGCGCGTGCGTCGTCGAAAAGATTACGTCAACAAAAAATTCCGCCGTGGGCCTACCCATCCTCGAGTTGCACACTCTTGTTTATCTACTCTTGCTATTACTAAACAGGCGAGTGTGGACATAATCGTGTTTTTTAGGGTTAAATACGTACTCGTAAACTGATCAGAGAGGATACTGAAGGGAATATATTTGAAGAAGTCATGTGAAAACCGTTTCTGCTCACCTTTCGGACTGACCTGCTGTCCATCACCAGCGCTGTTGGCACTGACGACGTCGACGGCACAAGACAGCAACGACAGAGAACACGCCGACAGTACTGCAAGCAGCTGAGCTCGTGCCTTCGCCAAAGCCATGTCCAAACAAGGCACGGTCCCGCGGGGTCCAGAGGTCAAACCGAGTGTATCTCAAAGCTTGTGCATATGGGGTAAATATGGCATCCGTACTCCGCCAAACTTGTCAAAATACTCTCCGAAAAGGCTCCCAAAAGACTGCTTGCTGAATGGACCCTACAAACTGTTCACCAACTACACAGCTCACTACAAGCTTTTCGCTCTACAGTGTCGTTCTACAACTAATTCAAGCTCGCCACCTTGGAATTACACGGCCTGTTGGATTGTTCCCGTACCATGGTCCATCAGATACTTCATTGCTTGTAAAAATAAGCATGCCTGTCACTCCCAACGGCAACGCGAGCACACACTGGAACGACAAAAGAACTGTGCGGCTCTTGGAGCTTCATGCAGTCCAGCAAAGCAAGAAATTACTTTGAAAAAAGTTGGTGGTTGGTATGGCATATCATATGCCTAGGCTATGGGTCATGGGTCATGTAGATCTACGCTCGTACAGTACGAGAACTGGATCGCGACGTGTGCATGTGTGCAGCCTCCAGTATAGAGATCAACAATAGAGATCAACTCGTAGGGTGCAGGGTTCACCAACCCATGTCATGTCCCGAGCTGACCCACGGGCCCCCGCGGGGCATGCAGCCTGCAGGGTCAGAGTTCATAAACAGTTTTTTATGGACCGATATGCGATGGGCGAAATATTGGCAAAGTAAGGCTGCGTTTACACGGAGACGAAACGAAACGAAACGGAACGAAAACGGGCTGGCGCCTGGCCTCGAATCGTTTTCAAACCGTTTACACGAGTACGGCAAATCGTTTTGAACCGTTTACACGAAAACGGAAAACGGGCGATCAGGCTGGAGTTAGCAAGTGCTGGCTTGGCGCAAGGGCGGGAAGTAACAGGTAACACCAAGAGTACATAACCCCCCAAGAGTGTGCAACTCCCACATACCCTGCTGTCCCGACAGAATTTCAAGTTGACGTCATTATTTATGACGCAATGCTCCTTGCACCAGTGATTTACAACATGTGTACGGGTGTCAACGCATCACACGTTTTTCTTTGCAGTAATTTGTACAGGATCGATCGGCTTCGGTCAACCACAGGTTCCGGATTCGTCTGATAATCCGTGTACAGAGCGCATTGCATCATCAAAATGACGTCAACTTGAAATTCTGTCGGGACAGCACCCATAGTGGAGTTGCACACTCTGGGGGGTTATGTACTCTTGGTAACACGTTAGAGTTGGTAGACCCTACGTGCTGGTGCTGGTGGTCGCAAAGGTCGGGTACCGGGTATTTCCCGCGAAATAGTCCCGCGCGTTTCCGTGACCGCGCTCCGTTTCCATTCTTTTTTACTGTTTTCACCGTTTACACGAGAACGAAAACGTTTTGAAAACGTTTCAAAACACTTTGAAGTGCGTTTCCATTTCGTTCCGTTTAGGTATTGTTTTCGGGCGTTGTCGTGTAACGATAGTAGTTAACGCAACGATTTCGTTCCGTTTAGGTCCTACTTCGTTGTCGTGTAAACGCAAATCGTTTTCAATCGTTGTCGTGTAAACGCAGCCTAAGTTATCTATTTGGTGCAGCTAGCTGAGAGCCTGTTGCCGGAATGGCGGTAGCCTGTAGGGTATTTTCAAGTGCAAGAAATACGCTGCAATGGAGTTTGGAAATTCTGAAGAAATACTTATTTTTTATTTATTTTATTTTTTATTGAAAAACCAAAAACCTTCAGACATGTGAATGTGCACATGATATACACTATACAGTGTAGATCTACATTTGGCCCAGACAGATTCTGCTCCGCGCGATATTTTGCCGCAAAATGTTGCTGCGAAATCTTTGATATTTTGCCGAGCCTGGCACAAGAAACTCGATATTTTGCTCCGAAAAAAACGTGTAATTAATTATTTATCCACTTCCCGTACAATCCCGCACAACATTTCATAAAAATCGCAGGATCGGTTTCTCAACACGGGTTTCCACGCACGTGTCCCTGAGTTCTTCCAAAATCATTTCGATCCACACACAGTGTCGCTGAATGGGTGAGAAACAAGGAAATCCAAGTATCAGGCATCGATTTTACCCAACATCTCAATATTTACTCCGATTTTGCCGGCAATTTCCGGTCTTTCAATTCTTCGATATTTTGCCTAAAGAATTGCCGGCAGGATCTGTCTGGGCCTAGTGTACATACGTATGTATCGAGAAGGCAGCACAGAAACGGCAGTGGTGGTGAGGCCTAGGCCTGGGCGGATAATGCTAGTTATTTTGCGGGATAATGCTTATGGCAATGCCAGAAAAACTGTATCATAATGCTACTTATAATGCTGCTGTTCCTCTGTAATGCCAGCAATTCACCAGTAGTAAGTATGGAAAATGGCTTGGTTTGGGCAGTATTGTGCACGTTTTGTAGTTCTACGTAGACGACATGGAAAATGCTAGAAAATCATGATCATAATGCTAATTTTATTCAATCTGCGGACAGAACTGTTTCGTCCTTTGTGGACTCGTCAGCGCAGCACAGAGGAAATGAGGCCGAACCTGATAGCAATGGAAATAAAAATTTCCAATCAGGTCCGAACGTACCTTGCCAGAGTGCTCAAACTGACAAGTCAGTGAGCTCTGCATAACGCAAACAGCAAAGGCACTACCCCATGCAAGAGTGCTCAACTGCTACAAGAGCAGGAGCGAAATACTCAATCTGCGGACAGAACTGTTTCGTCCTTTGTGGACTCGTCAGCGCAGCACAGAGGAAATGAGGCCGAACCTGATAGCAATGGAAATGAAAATTTCCAATCAGGTCCGAACGTACCTTGCCAGAGTGCTCAAACTGACAAGTCAGTGAGCTCTGCATAACGCAAACAGCAAAGGCACTACCCCACGCAAGAGTGCTCAACTGCTACAAGAGCAGGAGCGAAATACTCAATCTGCGGACAGAACTGTTTCGTCCTTTGTGGACTCGTCAGCGCAGCACAGAGGAAATGAGGCCGAACCTGATAGCAATGGAAATAAAAATTTCCAATCAGTTCCAATTTCCAAATTTCCAATAATGCTAATTTTATGCTGCTCTTGCTCCATACAATCCCTTGCAGCTAGCTGTCCAGCGAGGAAAGTCTCGAGTGGAGGCCTCTTGATCTGCTCGCTCATTCGCCTGGCATTCAGTAGCACTTCATCGCCAAGGACTTCAATTCAAAACAGTTTTCACACTGCGCTTCAAACCTTTTCCCTCGTGAACTTGCTGCAAACGTATGAGCTCTGCTGCGCGTGTTCCCTTTGTGCGAGGCCCAGAAACAGCTAGTATCTCCGTACTTCGATTGGCTGGATCGATGTCGTCCAGGTCTTCTTCGCTATCGCCATCACGACTCTAACTGGAGACGATTTCTTCACCATTTTCCGCAAGTAGCAGCTAGCGCAGAAACTTCGACATCCCTGAGTGTAGGAGATGGAATCCATTCGATCAGCCCCAAAACTCTTCGTTGTGACTAGAGAGTAGAGTAGAGGAGTAGCAGGGAATATTCTACCGGAAGCCCACTGACTTCCCTGACTGCTGAAACCCTTCCTGCGCGCTACTTCTTCAAACAAGCGAGATTCTCTTGACTTAGACTTTAGTTTGGTTCCACTTCACTGCCCACGAGCGTCCATGCGACCACAACCTTTTTACAAAACATCATTTTTCTCAAAAAATGATTTTCACCCAAAGCCTGGTTTTCGCAGAAGTATTAGTTGGGCCATTTGAGTATAATGCCACTTTTGTGGAAATGTAGTGTTATAATGCTAGCATAATGGCTAAAATGCTCGTTGCAAATCACACACTATAATGCTACTTATAATGCTAGCATTATCCGCCCAGGCCTAGTGTAGTAGTGAGGCCTGGGCAGCTCATCCGACCGTGGGTCTCGGAGTCAACACTAGGCAGACGCACCAGGAGGGGGGGGGGGGGGGTGGTAGCTTAGGAGATAAGGGATGGAGCCAGCGTGATCATAGTATGTAATGCATATGCAGAAGTAATATGTAAATCTTAAAAACAATAGTGTGGTGGACCTGCGCAGAGGAAAGGCATCATGGACATGATCTACGTGTATAACTTATAAGTGAGCTAGGGCACATCGTACACACACATTATTTTGCGCATGTTCAAATAGGAGATCAACCTGATAGGCGTTCACCGGCGTTGGGTAATCCTGAAATAAAGATATTAATATTATTTAAGAAATTATTATCATACGCTCACATAAACACCACATACCAACCATGTACACATTGGTCCTTGGTAACACTGCCATCCAAATTAATGGTCACGTGTCCCCTGTGCAGGGGTCGACAGCACTGAGTTCAGCATTGGATCCAGAAAGGCCGCTCTATTTCCTGGACAGGAAATTAGTACAGCTATGCAGGTCGAAACCACGGGATGACTTGCAGCAGCGACCGCAGCCGAGACCGCAGGGCAGGGCAACCCGCTGTTTCCGGACCAAGTCTGCCGATTCAGTAGCACTTCATCGCCAAGGACTTCAATTCAAAACAGTTTTCACACTGCGCTTCAAGCCTTTTCCCTCGTGAACTTGCTGCAAACGTATGAGCTCTGCTGCGCGTGTTCCTTTTGTGCGAGGCCCAGAAACAGCTAGTATCTCCGTACTTCGATTGGCTGGATCGATGTCGTCCAGGTCTTCTTCGCTATCGCCATCACGACTCTAACTGGAGACGATTTCTTCACCATTTTCCGCAAGTAGCAGCTAGCGCAGAAACTTCGACATCCCTGAGTGTAGGAGATGGAATCCATTCGATCAGCCCAAAAACTCTTCGTTGTGACTAGAGAGTAGAGTAGAGGAGTAGCAGGGAATATTCTACCGGAAGCCCACTGACTTCCCTGACTGCTGAAACCCTTCCTGCCATGACTGCTACTTCTTCAAACAAGCGAGATTCTCTTTACTTTGGTTCCACTTCACTGCCCTCGAGCGTCCACGCGACGCAACCTTTTTACAAAACATCATTTTTCTTAAAAAAATGATTATCACCCTAAGCCTGGTTTTCGCAGAAGTATTAGTTGGGCCATTTGAGTATAATGCCACTTTTGTCGAAATGTAGTGTTATAATGCTAGCACAATGTGCTCGTTGCAAATCACACAATAATGCTAATTATAATGCTAGCATTATCCGCCCAGGCCTAGCCGCAACGTGCAAACCAATGTGGCTGCGACCTTCCTGAAGCTGATTGATCGCCATTTCAAGAACACCCCGCTCGCAAAACTGTTCAACCGCAACAATGTAAAAGTCAGCTATTGCTGCATGCCAAACGTCGCAGCCTCTATCAGCAGTCACAAAAGGCGCCTCCTGACCAAGGCTACACCTAAAAAGCCATGTAACTGCAGAAAAAAGGACGAATGCCCACTGGAAGGCCGCTGCCTGGCATCACACATTATACGAGGCACATGTCACCAGCCAGGATGAGCGAAGATTATACATTGGCTGCGCAGAAACGGAGTTCAAAGCCAGATACAACAACCACACCACGTCGTTCCGACATGAGAGATACCGTACTAGCACCGAGCTGTCGAAACACCTCTGGGAGAAGAAACAAAACCACCAGGACTACCAGCTCAGATGGCAGATAAAGGAAAAGGCCAACTCCTACAGCACCGTCCACAAAAAGATGTAACCTGTGCACAGCTGAGAAAACATGGATTCTCCTTGGCGACGAGACCATGCTCAACAAGAGAAGCGAAGTCATTGCAAAATGCCGCCACGCTAACAAGTATCGCCTAGCCAACTTCACCGGGGTTACATAACATAACAAGTGAGGAAAGGCACGCTGCACTCCGGCCAAGGGACGTGACAACCCACCTCACTTGCAACGGACACTTCCATCAAAATTGCGCGAATACGATTGTCACTTTGTACAATTTTGAACTGCTATCCTACAGTATCCCCCATTATTTATACAACCAGACCCGCATTCAGGTCTATCGCGAAGGATGTTTCACCAACTCTGAAGAATGCTGCAATTTTGAACTGCTATCCTACAGTATCCCCCATTGTAATTTATACAACCAGACCCGCATTCAGGTCTATCGCGAAGGATGTTTCACCAACTCTTGAAAATTCATTGCATTCCCAACTCATCACAACCACGAGCTCTTCAGCCGAACCATACAGACACCAGCAAGGACACTTCCGTTGAGAGATAATGATTATTGCTCCACGCCTCTAGACAGCTGTTTCGCTCCCTGTCGGAGCTCATCAGTAGAGGATGATTGTTATGTCGGGTTCAGCAAAGCACAATCACAGGGTCGGAGAAAACTACCATTACAAGTACATCTGGAAGAACAGTCCGAAAGCAAGCAAGGGGCGGGAAAAGAACACAGCTCCACTAGAAGTTATGCAGATTCAGAGACCGCGCATGCGGACTGGTGTACACACAATAATGATGTCATGCAACTACACATACACTACAATCTCCCCCTTCAAAAACACAAGGGAGAGCCTAACAGAGGGAAGGACAGTGTGCGAAGAGTGAGCATTATGAGAAGGCGGCTGAACATGAACAAGAGAACAGAGCGGTGCTCTAGAATAGTTCAGTCCCTGTAGCGCTGTGGCTTCAGTGCGTGACGCCTTGATGGCGTCCGAGCATCACGTTGCTGAACTACCTTCTCAGGATCAGAGGGAAGCTCAGGAGTCGTTGCAGGATCACGAACACGCAGCTGGTCCACATGTCTACGCACAATGACACCATTGGCCAGCTTAACTTCGAAAGACTTGGTGCCTTTCCGCTGCAATACGGTGCCAGCTGACCACTTCTGAGGCTGGTTGAACATCCGCGCATAGACGGCGCTGCCTTCGTCCAACCCTTTTGCTGGCGGCTGGTGGCAGGCAGCGGTGGTGGTATTCTTGGCTTGCGGCTGTACCAGGTGCAGTCTGGTCTTGAGCTCCCGTTGAAGGAACAATGCCGATGGAGTTTCTCCTGTTGTCGCGTGAGGAGTCGAGCGATACCGTTCCAAGAACGTCTGCAGTGCCTCGGTCCAGGACAGTAGACCACGCTTCTCACTCAGCAAGGCAGCTTTGAATGTTTGGACACAGCGTTCTGCAGCTCCGTTGGTTGCGGGGAAGTATGGTGCACTGCGCAGGTGGATGATACTTCTCTCAGCCATGAAGTTGCTCCACTCCACGGACGTGAACTGCGGGCCGTTGTCCGTCACGATTGCATCAGGAGAACCATACGCCGCAAACAGCTTCCGGAACTCTGCGATAGTCGTCTTGCTGGTGGTGGAGGACATAGGAATCACTTCCAACCACTTGGAGAATGCATCAGTCACGATCAAATACATTCGTCCTTCCATTGGTCCAGCAAAATCGGCGTGAATGCGACTCCAGGGTGCTGCTGGATTGGGCCAACGTGTCACCTCCACTGGTTGATCACGATTCCTGTTCACTTGGCATGCATGGCAGCTTCGGACGGCTCGCTCCACGTCGCTGTCAAGACCTGGCCACCATACATGGTTCCTTGCCAAAGCCTTCATGCGCACCATACCAGGGTGTGCAATGTGTAACTCTTGAAGGAGCCGGGGCTGAAGCGTGCTAGGCACCACCGTGCGAAATCCTCGCTGAAGGCAGCCCTGGACTACTGTGAGCTCCTCTGCGATGCGGTGGAAGGGCTTCAGCTCTGAGGGGACAGTCTCGGGCCAACCATTGGCGACATGCTGCAGTACCTGCTTGAGCACGATGTCCTTGGCCGTCTCTGCACTGATGTCTGCTGCGAGGACTGGCAGCTGATCCTGGTGAGTCGTCAGAATCTCAGACACCTCACACACATCAACGCTATGCGAATCAAGCGACATGCGTGACAGGTAATCAGCGTTGGCGTTGGCTTCAGTCGTCTTTACCATCACATCGTATTGATACGCTGATAGTGTTACAGCCCAACGCTGCAACCGCATGGCTGCGATTGAGGGGATGCCTCTCTTTGGACCGAAGATTACGGCAAGAGGGCGGTTGTCGGTCACCAGGTTGAAGTGCCGTCCATAGAGGTACAAGTGGAACTTGGTGACACCGAACACGATAGCAAGCGCTTCTCGTTCCAGTTGGCTATAATTGCGCTCGCTGGTTGTCAAAGAGCGGCTGGCGTATGCGATTGGTTGCTCCTGCCCTTCCGGCATCACATGGGACAAGACAGCACCAATTCCTGTGCCTGATGCATCGCAGGTCAGACGTAGCGGTAGCGAAGGGCTATAATGAACTAGAACTGGTGGTGCACTCAGAGCTGACTTCAAAGCTCTGAAGGCTTGCTGCTGTGGCGCTTGCCATTTCCAGACGGTGTTACGCTTCTGGAGATCGTAGAGAGGCTGTGCGAGCGAAGCCAGGTTCTCAATGAACTGGCCATAATAATTCACCAGACCCAAGAATGACTTGAGCTCCGTGACATTCGTCGGTGCACGTGCGTTCTGAACCGCTTGCACTTTCTCATCGGTGGCGTGTAGACCCGACGCGTCAATTTTGAAGCCGAGGTACTGGACTGAGTCGGAGAAGAACATGCATTTCGATTTCTTTAGCTTCAGACCAGCTTGCAACAGAATCGACAACACCGTGTTCAGACGTTCCAGCAGTAGTCTGCGAGTGGGTGCAGCGATCAGGATGTCGTCCAGGTACTTGGACACGCCTTCCAAGCCAACCAGGAGCTTGTCCATGATTCCTTGGAACACCGCTGGAGCCGATGCAACACCGTAGGGCAGACGATTGAACTGGTACAGGCCCTTGTGCGTGTTGATGGTAGTCATCTTCTGGGACGCCTCATCCAACGGCACTTGCAGATACGCCTGCGACAAATCCAGCTTCGCAAAATATTTGCAGCCATTCAGGGAGCTGAAGATGTCCTGCGCTGTCGGCAGTGGGTGCTGGTCCACTCGTAGTTGGGGATTCACAGTGACCTTGTAGTCACCGCAGAGACGAACTGAGCCATCGGGCTTTGGAACAGCCACTACTGGTGTTGCCCACTCGCTGTGCTTGACAGGCTCTATAATGTGCTGCTGCTCCATCTTCCTGAGCTGCTCCTCAACCAAGGGCTTGACAGCGTACGGCACTGAATAGGGACGCCTGAACACCGGTCGTGCGTCCTCTTTCAGATGCAAGGTAGATGCGCCTGTTCGCAGCTCACCAACGTGGCCGTCAAACAAGGTCGCGTTGTCCGCAACTATCCGCTCCAAATCGGGTCCATCCGTAGGTTCGTCAACCCCAAACACGGATGACCAATCGAGTCGGACGTGTGGCAACCAATTCCTTCCGAGCAGTGTAGCACCCTCGCCTTCAACAATGAGCAGTGGCAATGGCGTTGTACGGCCATCATAGCATACCTCCACTGTGGCTTGACCCAACACATTGATTTCATCACCTGTGTACGAGCGCAGCTTGATGTTCGCCGGTTCGAGTTGTTTGTCACTGGTACGATCCCACGTCTCACGTGACATAAGGCTCACTGCAGCTCCGGTGTCGAGCACCATTGTCGTTTCCACCCCGTCTAACATCACATTCACAGTTAGCTTGGGACGGGACTCTACGGAGTACACATCACCAACTTCATGCTCCTCACATACAAAATTGGTTTGGTGTTGGTCGCCCTTTTTCGTACGACACACCTTCTCGAGGTGCCCACGCTTGTGGCAGTAGTGGCACTCGGAAGCCTTGAAGCGACACTGTGAAGGAGCATGGTCCTTATTGCCACAGCGATAACAAGGCGCAGCCCCGTCAGTAGTGCTGCTAGCGCTGGCTCCGGACTTGCCTCGCTGTCTAGGTGCAGGTGGCTGTCTCTTGTGCCAAACGGCATGGACATCGCTGGATTCGGAGGTAGATCTACCCGCGGCCATCAAGCGCGCAGCCTCGCGATCGACCACCTCCTGAGCTGCAGCCGTTTTCAGAGCAGTCTCCAAAGTGAGGGCATCGATGGTCAGCAATTTTTTACAAACGACAGCGTCTCGTATGCCACAGACGAACCTGTCGCGGATGGCATCTTCCAGACCATTGCCGAAGTCACAGGTCTTTGCCAAACGTCGTAGCTCAGCGGCATAGTCATGATAACTCTCACTTGCCTGCTGGCTGCGGCTCCAAAATTTGTAGCGTTCCGCAATTGTCAGACGCTTAGGGGAGAAGTGTGCAGTCAGAGTCTGTCGCAGCTCTGAGAGGGACTTGTCATCCAGTGTTGCTGGTGCGATCAGCGTCACTAGCAACCTGAAAACACTTTCTCCTACAACTGTCAAGAATACAGATTTCTTCCGCCCGTCCTCAATTTTATTCGCTTTGTAGAATTGATCCAGCCTGGCCAGATAAGACTCCCAGTCATCAGCATCAGTAGATGTGAAGGGGCCCAGGTTTCCGAGCAGCGCCATGATCCGATCTTCGTCGCCACTTGTTATGTCGGGTTCAGCAAAGCACAATCACAGGGTCGGAGAAAACTACCATTACAAGTACATCTGGAAGAACAGTCCGAAAGCAAGCAAGGGGCGGGAAAAGAACACAGCTCCACTAGAAGTTATGCAGATTCAGAGACCGCGCATGCGGACTGGTGTACACACAATAATGATGTCATGCAACTACACATACACTACAATGATAATGATGATAATGGAGGAATGATCATTCTTATACACCAGAAATGGCGCAAGTGCGCGCTTTCCACATAATTATATCAATGGCATATGCAAGCTGCTAAAATGGTAAAGTGTGAGAACAGCGATAAATAATCATAGTAAGCGCTCATTGGTGGAGAAACACACCACACAGGCGACGAAAATCTTACGCGGAATACTAATGCCAAAGGAAAGTACATGTATGTTGTTTATTATTATGATGTTGCAATGTCCATGTATGCAGGCCAGGCGAGACTCACCGCCGAGATCCCCCAACGCGACAGGTTCGGTTGCCGTTCAGGATTCACACCGACCTGTCCGCCCGTCAACAGGATCGACAGCGGGAGGCCCCACTGATGCCGATGTCGATGTACACCAGGAAACTGGTAGTCGTGAGTGTGATACTAACAGGTCCATCGGCAACCACTGACAAACGAGAGGCCAGCTGGGGCATTCACTCCAGTCAGGGATGCTTGGTCGACGCTTCGTATCAGCAGCTCAGCTCATTTTGATCAAACAAAGATGTTGCAGATGTGTCTTGCTTTTCTCCTTCCTTCTTCACCGACTCGTCTTGTCATCTCTCCTTCTTTCTTCACCGACTCTTCGTGTCCACTCTGCTCTGCCACTAACGGCGCATTAAAACTTCAGAACTAAATATTGCGACAGAGCTTTCGGCCATATTTTCAATTCATTGCATTCCCAACTCATCACAACCACGCGCTCTTCAGCTGAACCATACAGACACCAGCAAGGACACTTCCGTTGAGAGATAATGATTATTGCTCCACGCCTCTAGACAGCTGTTTCGCTCCCTGTCGGAGCTCATCAGTAGAGGATGATAATGATGATAATGGAGGAATGATCATTCTTATACACCAGAAATGGCGCAAGTGCGCGCTTTCCACATATATCAATGGCATATGCAAGCTGCTAAAATGGTAAAGTGTGAGAACAGCGATAAATAATCATAGTACGCGCTCATTGGTGGAGAAACACACCACACAGGCGACGAAAATCTTACGCGGAATACTGATGCCAAAGGAAAGTACATGTATGTTGTTTATTATTATGATGTTGCAATGTCCATGTATGCAGGCCAGGCGAGACTCACCGCCGAGATCCCCCAACGCGACAGGTTCGGTTGCCGTTCAGGATTCACACCGACCTGTCCGCCCGTCAACAGGATCGACAGCGGGAGGCCCCATTGATGCCGATGTCGATGCACACCAGGAAACTTGTAGTCGTGAGTGATGAGTTGGGAATGCAATGAATTGAAAATATGGCCGAAAGCTCTGTCGCAATATTTAGTTCTGAAGTTTTAATGCGCCGTTAGTGGCAGAGCAGAGTGGACACGAAGAGTCGGTGAAGAAAGAAGGAGAGATGACAAGACGAGTCGGTGAAGAAGGAAGGAGAAAAGCAAGACACATCTGCAACATCTTTGTTTGATCAAAATGAGCTGAGCTGCTGATACGAAGCGTCGACCAAGCATCCCTGACTGGAGTGAATGCCCCAGCTGGCCTCTCGTTTGTCAGTGGTTGCCGATGGACCTGTTAGTATCACACTCACGACTACAAGTTTCCTGGTGTGCATCGACATCGGCATCAGTGGGGCCTCCCGCTGTCGATCCTGTTGACGGGCGGACAGGTCGGTGTGAATCCTGAACGGCAACCGAACCTGTCGCGTTGGGGGATCTCGGTGGTGAGTCTCGCCTGGCCTGCATACATGGACATTGCAACATCATAATAATAAACAACATACATGTACTTTCCTTTGGCATCAGTATTCCGCGTAAGATTTTCGCCGCCTGTGTGGTGTGTTTCTCCACCAATGAGCGCGTACTATGATTATTTATCGCTGTTCTCACACTTTACCATTTTAGCAGCTTGCATATGCCATTGATATAATTATGTGGAAAGCGCGCACTTGCGCCATTTCTGGTGTATAAGAATGATCATTCCTCCATTATCATCATTATCATCCTCTACTGATGAGCTCCGACAGGGAGCGAAACAGCTGTCTAGAGGCGTGGAGCAATAATCATTATCTCTCAACGGAAGTGTCCTTGCTGGTGTCTGTATGGTTCGGCTGAAGAGCGCGTGGTTGTGATGAGTTGGGAATGCAATGAATTGAAAATATGGCCGAAAGCTCTGTCGCAATATTTAGTTCTGAAGTTTTAATGCGCCGTTAGTGGCAGAGCAGAGTGGACACGAAGAGTCGGTGAAGAAAGAAGGAGAGATGACAAGACGAGTCGGTGAAGAAGGAAGGAGAAAAGCAAGACACATCTGCAACATCTTTGTTTGATCAAAATGAGCTGAGCTGCTGATACGAAGCGTCGACCAAGCATCCCTGACTGGAGTGAATGCCCCAGCTGGCCTCTCGTTTGTCAGTGGTTGCCGATGGACCTGTTAGTATCACACTCACGACTACAAGTTTCCTGGTGTGCATCGACATCGGCATCAGTGGGGCCTCCCGCTGTCGATCCTGTTGACGGGCGGACAGGTCGGTGTGAATCCTGAACGGCAACCGAACCTGTCGCGTTGGGGGATCTCGGCGGTGAGTCTCACAAGAAGCCGCCTGACAAACGTGTGGCAACAAGTGATAGCGCCATCACAAAGCATTTGCAGGCGCAACCTGAATGCATCCCGCAGGAACGCAACAGCAGCTTCAGTGTCATCACACCAGCCCGGAACAGCGCGCTCCGATTCACACTGGAGGCGCTGTACATTCGCAGTTTGAGGCCAGAACTGTGTCGACAAAAGAAGCACATCAAGGTGCTACGGCTGTTCAAGCTGCGACCGGACTGACAACTTTATCACGTGTTTGTTCTGGTACTGCATTCCCCTCATGTGTTGTTTCCCGCATTTTTCCACTGGTTGGTTGGTTGTGTTTATTTGAATTCGCAAACCGAACGGACTGAACATGTCCAATGACAAGGAAGCGAATGAAGTCCAAGTAACCCAGGAATGGGGACACAGATGAAAAGAAAATATGGGAACAGAAGGCTCTCAGCAAAGGAAGAAGAGAAAGGAAGGAAAGAAAAAGAATAATGGAGAAGAAGAAGAAAAATCGTGGCCACGGCGAGAAGAAGCTTTTAGCAAAGGGAGAAAGGAAAGGATGAAGGAGAAAATGGGGAGACACATCGTGGTCACGGCCAAAGCCGGAGTAGCGGCAGGACACAGTAGACATAACAACACCAGGAACAAGCACGCATGAAGCATGGGCCATGCCGGCCCAGAAGCGGGAGACACCGACAGGAAGAGAGAAGAGAAGAGAAGAGAGAGAAATCGTAGCATTGCACATCTACATGTACGCCCACACATCCACACATCCACACACACACACACACACACACACATACATACCCACACCTACACACCAATACACACAGACACATACCCCCCACACACACGCACATGCGCGTGCACACACACACACACACACACAAACACCTTGGTCCTTGGTAACACTGCCAACAAATGGTCACGTGTCCCCTGTGCAGGGGTCGACAGCACTGAGTTCAGCATTGGACCCAGAAACGCCGCTCTACTTCCTGGACAGGAAATTAGCACAGCTATGCAGGTCGAAACCACGGGATGACTTGCAGCAGCGACCGCAGCCGAGACAATGCGCTCTGCAGCAGGGCAGGGCAACCCGCTGTTTCCGGACCGAGTCTGCCGATGCCACAGCCGAGACCGACGCCACTTCAGCAGCCGAGTTGGAGAGACACTTATGCGAAGCTAGCCCGCCAGCACTCAAGAACCATCTCCCGCACGCATTACATAGTCGGCTGCCGGACTGCTCAGATATGGGCTTCCTCCTCTCGGCCAGGCACTTGTGGCGATTCTTGTATTTCTGGTGGGCGAAAGTACGCTGGCAAACATCGCAGAGCACAGAAGTGTCACGCTGAGCCGATCGCGGTACTGGTTGAGACACAAACACACACACACACACACATGTACATTGACAGCCACACATACAATTTCTTTGCAATGTTCTCAGTTCATAGAAGAAACGGGACTGCGGCAGCACGGAACTGACGAGGAACAGAGATGGAGCGAATACTGCTAGGCAGGTTGTTCCAGCATAGCGCACCCTGGAAGGCGAATGTCCCCTTTCCAGAGTTGCTGCGGGCGGGTGGCAGGCAGAGACCCATGCTGGATTCAAGGCGCGTGGACCGGCCACAAGCTGGCAGCAAGAGAACCTGAAGCTCAGGACTTGCTTGGCCGTAATGGCAGCGCCATGCAAGGAATGCCAGCTTCTGCTTGTACACTTCGGTTACCCGATACAGTGAGAGGCGCTCCAGTAGGTCATGTGCGGATGTCCATGGCGGGCGTCCGAACACTACACGGGCAACCACGGTTTTGCAGAACCTGTAGTCGATGACAGTGCCTGGCTGCCAGAGATGTCGAAAATGCATTTGATCCATATAGAAGATCGGGCATTATGATGGACTGGAAATAAGTTATCCGACCCTGTGTGCTGAGGCAACGCCGCATCCTCCACAGGACTCCGATCTTTCGTGATACACGGTTTGCACAGCGGGTTACGTGGTCATCCCAAGACATGTTGCTATCAAATGTTACGCCAAGGTACCTGGCAGACTCCACAAGAGGCAGCAGGGTCCCGTTACAGTTCACGGAGAGTGGAGTATGCTTCTCAGGTAGGTTCCCAGAAATGGAGATCACCTGGCTTTTGGAAGCATTCAGGATCAAGCCACGGTCGTTTAGCCAGTTACCATGGTTACCACTGCTCCATACATTCTTATGGTAGTGTAGTGTAAACTTGAGGCACGTAAGAATAT